TCCTTCCTGGAGCATAACCTCTGGGTTAAAGTTATTCTCAGTAAAGAATGAATCAGCAAACATTTCTGGCATCAGGGAAGTCAGTTTGTTAGTTTGCTTCATAATCCTTCATTGTCACAGAGTGTAACTACTCGTGACACATCACTGCTTGCTCAAGTCTTAAAAGTCTGCTGCTAAAAGTGCATGTGCAATGCTTGTGTAACAATTTGGTATAAATAGTAAAGTGTATAGCCTATAAAATGTTTCCCCTTTAGCATTCCTCTGAGCCTGTTCACCATATCTGATCAGTTTTCCCCCAACATGAATAACTAGGCAAATATGAGAAAGCTCTGGCACTAAGGGACATGATCTAGACCCACAGCAAGCAAGTGATGGCCACCCTGACTGACTTCGAAGGACATGTTTTGGTCTGTTGAAAGATTTGCAATCAGAAGGGGAAATGATGGGAAAATCTGCATGTATTGAGATAAGGGGAAGTCTTTCTGGCTCATATATGGTTTAACTTAAACTTTGCTGACCAAAGCATCCTGTTTTTGGCCTTTCAGACATGCATTGTACATCTGCTTTGGCCATTAAGGAGAGAAATGCATTTGAAAGTTAGAATGGAATAGCTGTGGCTCAGACATCCAAGGTAAAACTAGGTAGTCATTTTGGACATGATTTCAGACAAATCTCTCTATTGCTGAGAACTTGAATTTTCTGAGCTATGTCAGACTTGGGACTCCACCAGCCATTCTCAAAGCTGTGTCATGGTGATTTCAAGGTCTCCTCTTCTAATTAGTACATTTTTAGACAATGAAATTGTATTATATCAGATATTAACAGGAGAGAATTAATGTGTAGTGGCCAGTAGCCCCTGTTATGTATAAATAATACCTCTAGAAATGTTAAAATCCAAATGTAGAATAATTTGAAAGGCTACTTTGTTACTAAATATACATGAAAAAACACTCCAAAACCTATTTTCCTAGTTGTCATCTAAAATAGGAGGACCCTTTTGGGAAATACTACAAAGATGCACTTTGACTATTACCTTCATTATAATATGTCTATTATTTTCAAATGTTTCTCTAGATGCTATTACCATAATACAAATATTAATACTAAGCTTGGAATTTGGGACTATTTCCAACTCTGTATCCATTCCCTAAATTAGGCAGGACTACGCCCCATTTCAGTCGGAAGCAACCAGAGCTCAGTTGTCACACCATTCCCCCAAAGAGCTGGGGAAAGATTGAAACAGAGATGGAAAGTAAGACCAAGTTCCTCTGCCAAGTTTATGATTAACTTCTCTTGCTCCACACCTGTTCCTCGTCAAGACTAAGGAGTATCAAAGAAAAGGGAGGAACTGTAAGCGAGTAGGACTCTATTGTCATCAGGACCATCTGATATCTCTAATGGTGTTTGTAACTGCTTAACTGTATAATGGCTTAAAGGGTTTTTCTCATGCTTTTGCTGACTAGGGTTGGGCTGGAGAGGAGGGAGGCTTGGGTGCTCCACCCAGCCCCCTCGTGGTGCTGGGTGAGGGGATCATGCTTAGTGCCCTGCTTTTGCCCCCAGTGCCTTGCTGTTGACCCCAACACCTCAGAAATGACAGTAGGGTATTGTTCCGGCTGTAGGCCTCAGCCTGCAGCAGGAAGTCCTGGGCCTCAGTCTGCTTAAAAGGCTAAAAGCATTTACCAACCTGACTTTAAACTGCACAAGTTTTTCTCTAGAGCTCTTTTCCATGGAGCCCCTTCCTTCTAGGTGTAAGAATATTAAGAAAGTCCCAAAGCTGGAGGTGAAATTCATACCCAGCAGAGGGAAGGGGACTATTGCATCCGCAAAAACAAGAACAACTTTGCAACAATTTGTTACTGTGTGTACAATCTCTATGGAAACCAGCTCTGCCCCTTGAGCTCTTGAACTTTTACTGTAAACCCCCTGCCTTCTCTCCCCAGCAGGCTCACAGTCTTAGAGGCACTAGCCCACTGTGACCTCCTTTGCCTGGTAAAGAAACAAAGCTGCCTTTTCTACTTCATCCAAAACTCTGTCCCTGAGTCTCAACTTGATAAGTGGGGTACAGAGGCCATGTTTCGGCAACAGTGGTAGCACTTTTTGTAACAGAAAAATACTTGAAACCCAAATATCCATCAATAGTGGACTGATTGAAAAAAACAGACAACCCAGTAAGAAATGGGCAAGCGATCTGAACAAGTACATTACTGAAAGTACAAATCCTGAGAAAGCTATCTAAATAGCCAATAACTATGTGAAAAGTTCTCAGCCTCATTGAAAATCAAGGAAATGAACATTAAAACCACAACCCAATACCATTACACCTCTAGAATGGCTAAAATTACAAAGCCTAACAAAACCAAGTATTGGTGAAGTTGTGGAGCAACCAGATTGGTCATACACTGATCACAGGAGTTGAAACATGTTTTGTGGCAGCTACGAAAGCTGAGCCCAATGATCCAGCAATGACCATTAGGAATGCCACAGCACATCCCAACAGAAACTGTGCACATATGCATCAAAAGATAGTATTCATTAGCCCAAACCGGAAACAGTAGTGGGATAATACATAGTGATTTTTAACCAAGTGAGTACCATGTGGCAATGAAAATGAACTTTAGTTATGTGCAGAAGGATAACACTGAGAGAAGCCAGTCACAAAACAATACAGGTGGGAGAGGGGCAGGGGAGAGGTATAGCTCAGTGGTAGAGTGTGTGCCTAGCAAGCACGAGATCCTTGGTTCAATCAGCAATACCTCCATTAAAAATAAATAAACAAAAATCTAATTAGCTCCTCCCCCAAAATACATAAATAAGTAATTTAAAAATAACAAATAAATATTTTTTAAAAACCAAACACTAAAAAAATACAGATATATGATTCCATTTGTCTAAAATTCAAAACAAGCTAAATAATCAGTGGTGATTGAAGACAAAACAGTGGCTCCCTATGGGAGATAGAAAGTGGATAGTGATTAGGAAGGAGGATTAAGAGTGCTTCTGGGATGCTGGAAACATTCTCTTTCTTGACCTGGATGTAGGTTATAAGGATGTATTCATTTTTAGATAATCCAATGGGCTACATACACTGATGATTCGTGCACCTAATATGTGTGTCATACCATCCCCACTCACACAGGCACACACACCCACCACACTTAACACCCCGTGGGCTCTGAAAGGAGTGAGACGGTCCCAGGGGTGTCAAATCCAAAATATTAAATTGTGAGCCTTCCCACCACCACCCCACTTCTGGGGGCTCTGGCTGCAGAGAGCAACAACGAGTTTTGAAGGGGGAGGCTTCTCTCTGGGGTCAACCAGGGGAGACATCAAAGCTTAGAAATCGGAGGGCAGAATCACCCCTGATTCTTAATCTAATCTTCTGCCCCCTCATCATTCATTTCTCTAAGCCTCTCAGGCTAAACGAAGGGTATCTGACATAGAAGATTTTGGCATCTTGGTTTGCAGTAGCTAGATTCCTCCTCAGGAATCCCAGCAACCCCTCCTCCCAGTCCTTTTCCTCAAGGACCCAGGCACCCCTCCCTGCAAAGCCCCCAGTCTGCACGGGTCCCCTCACTCCTGCCTGTTTCTTCATACCCCTGGCGCTTATCCAGTCTCCTGTTTACTCACCTCATTTTCCTGGTTGACTTTGGGTTCTAGTAAACTCTTAGCCTTTATCTCTCCCTCTGGGAACCTGCCCTGGGTGGGGGCACTGACAGCCCCCACCCACCCTGGCCACCCAGCGGCTCAGACCTTGGTGATAAGAGAGAAGTCCTGGGGGCAGCAGCTGCTGGGGTGTTGTCCCAGAAGACACACAGGCTTTGCAGCTGCTGTTTTCAAGGGAGACTCCTCAGCAAACAATGAGTCCTTGAGGTTTCAGGGAGGAGCAGGTCATGGGTCAGGCCAGCCCCTCAGGAGGAACAGACTCCATCTCAGAAAGCCCACCGCTGCTCAGCTGTCTCTGTTTCTGCTCCCGGTGTGTGACCTAGACTGCCGTCTCCTATCTTGGGCAGATTTGGGGATGATGGGGGCACAGAATCACCCAAAAATTGTTCAGCTAGTCCTTTCTCAGGAATAACTAAACTAAACAAAACAAAACCACTTCCTGGAAAGCAAATTCTCCAGAATGTACCCAGGCAGCCCTGCTGGTCTAGGCGTGGCAGTATTGTGTCCCACTCCACAGTCCTGGGGCAGGTGCTCAGATTCGCGCCTACCTCAGACACCTGCCCCCTACCCTGAGTGTTTGGATAAAGGATATGGGTGGCTGGGAGCCAGGGATCAGCTTGTGGGGACTGGGGACCTGGATGTGGGTCCTTTAATATTGTTCCTGGCAGGTACCAAAGGAAAAAGAAATCTAGCCATTGAACCAGCAAACAAGACCAAATATCACCTTCCCTTCCTGCTTCCTGCCCCCTGGGGACCCAGGTCCAGGCCCTCAGCACCCTGCTCCCCAGCTGTTTCTCTCAGGGACACCACCCTTCCAGGACTGAAATTTCCAGCAGGCTCCCTGGGCACAGCCACCAGCTGTTCTCACACCCCTCTCAGGACTCAGGCATTCAGGCTTGCCCTCCACCCTTCCCAGGCCTTCAGGGTCCCCATTCCAGCTGGCCCTGGGATCAGTAGCCTCCTCCAGGAAGTTGGCACCATCTGCCTAGCAGGTGACCCAGGGTGTGACCTGAGGAATCAAGAGACTCCACTATATAGCCCAGCCCAAGGGCTAGCCCCACAGCTCCAAGAACCTGCAGGTGAGAGATGCTGGGTCCCCTTTGGAAGTGGGACATCAGGTCCCCTACCCTTGCCACTAGCTCCAGGACTCCCCACCCCCCATACCCACTCGATGTCCAATTCCCCATCCTGCCCCTATCCTCCCCCTCCCCACCCAACCCCTAGACCCACTGGATGTCCACTTCCCCTTACATACACACACTGGCTCTTGGGTCCAACCCACCTCAACCCTGGTACCTAGGTAGCCCTTGTCCTGAGACTGGGCCCTTTTGTCCTCTCGGGGACAGTCTCCACCAGGAGGGGCAGACCGGCCTCCTATGACTCCCGCTCTTTCACCATTGCAGACATGGGTTCCTTTTGGAGCTGGTGGACACTCTGGGCTGGAGCAACCCTTCTGTGGGGTAAGTCAATCAGAAAGTCCAACTATGTCCTTGTTCCAGACTAGGGAACTCAGCCTGTACCCTCCACGTGAGCCCCCTCCACAAACGCACCTCCCAGAGTCACCCAAGGCCAGCAGAGATGGCAGAGAGGCCCCTTAGGTTTTGCAGAGAAATGTGGTGGAATTCACCCATTCTCTGTTTTAGGGGGAAGCAGGTAAAAATCTTAGTCCCCAAATTCAAGTAGGTAAGAACTACCACTTTCTTGATGTTCTGCAACTCAACTAAAGTTTTGACTCTGAGCCTTATTCTGAGAAGGTGATGGAAAATGTCACTAAAGCCTTTCTTGGTGGGGGGGCTTGGTATCTAATTCTCTAGGGTTATGTCTGGGACTGGAGTCTTAAGTAAAGCCAAAGTTTGGGGGGAAGGATGGGATATCAGGGCCCTCTACTTACCAGTCAACATCTACTTAGGTTACTTTTGAAACGTTCATTGCCCCTGATCTCCTGGCCCCGTGGGACACTGGGATGGCCTTCAAGGCTCCCTTTATTTGGCAGATAGTCCTTCTATAACCCCTACACTCTCTCTAAGACCCTGTAGAGCAATCTCTCTCTCCCTGCCCCTCCCCCTCTCTCTTCTCAGCCCCGGATAATCTCTTCCTAGTTGGGGATGTTGAAAAGTGCCCACTGCTCTCTATTTCTAGGAGACATTTTGTCCATGCTCTCATAATCCCCCTTTTCCCTTCACAGAGCCCCCTAATCCTGTGAAGACAGAAATCACAAACTGGCACCTGAATCCAGGCCAGTTTGGGCCCATAATGCTTACTTAAAATAATTTTGATTCTTTTTTAATTGAAGTATAATCGATTTACAATGTTGCATTAGTTTTTGGTGTACAATGTAGTGGTTCAGATATACATATATTCCTTTCCATATTATTTTTCATTATAAGCTATTACAAGGTTTAAAACAATTTCAAATTGGAGATTTCACATGGAAGTTCAGGTAGCTAGTTTCTCTTGAAAAATGCTAAGATCTGGCATTAAAAAAAAGATGGAATCCATAAACCATCATGATGACAACGGGTTAAAGCTAGTGGCAACACCCCACTTGCCATGGCGTCTGAAGGCTCTAGAGGCACCGTCTGCCCGTTCTGTTTCACACATTTACGTCACTTGCCTGGTCCTGTCAGCATTTGAGTTTGAGATCCCTGTCTTAACGTGTTCAGGCTTTTGGAAGACAAAGGCTAGAAGGGCTGGTAAGTGAACACTGCATGAATAAGGAGAAAGGAATGAGAAGGGAGAAAGTAGACGCCCCAGTTAGTCAACATGTGATCCAGGCACAGGGCACGAGGTTACTTCTCTGAGGGGGAGGATTGAATAAGAGGACCCACAACTACATTTTCTCACCCTAGGATTGACCCAGGAGGCCTCAGTGGACCCTAAGAACAGCGGTGGGGAGGAATTCCTCACGGCCTTCCTGCAGAACTATGAGCCCAGTTACAGCAAGGCCTATCTCTACCTCCTCCTCACCAGCCTGTCGGACAGCCCCACCTCAGTCTCCGTCCTCAGCCGGGTGGATGGCACCTCACAGAAGGTCACAGTGGGGCCCGGACAGTCAGTCATGGTCAACATCAGCGCCAAGGCTGAGATGGCCGGCAGCAATACCTTCCAGCATGCAGTGGTGGTCCACTCTGACCGCACCATCTCTGTGCAGGCAATAAACGCTAAGCCCTACACAGCGGATGTGACCCTGCTGTGGCCTGTCCGTGCCCTGGGCACTGAGTACTTCGTGCTCACACCATCTAGCACCTTGAACCAGAATGTCAAGGAGTTTGCTGTCGTGGCTGGTGCAGCCGGTGCTTCTGTCAGTATACAGCTGAAGGGGTTGGTGACATTCCAGGGCAAGTCCTACCAAGCAGGCAATGTGCTGAATGTGACTCTGGAGGCCTACCAAGTGGCCCAGGTACAGAGCATGGCTAACCTCTCAGGGTCAAAGGTCACCGCCAGTAGCCCTGTGGCTGTCCTCTCTGGCCACAGCTGTGCTCAGAAAAACACGAACTGCAACCATGTGGTGGAGCAGCTGCTACCCACGTCTGCCTGGGGCACCCGCTATGTGGTGCCCCCTCTGTCTTTCCAGACCCACTATGATCTGGCCTATGTCATGGCCAGCCAGGCCACAAAGCTGACCTACAACCTTGGGGGCACTGCTGGCACCCGTGAACTCCAGGCAGGTGACGTGGCAGAGTTTGAGATCCAGCAGTCCCGGCCACTCTACCTGTCTGCAGATGTGGGCATCCAAGTCCTGCTGTTTGGCACGGGTGCCACCAAGGATGGAAATACCTATGACCCCCACCTGGTTCTGCTCCCAGACGTGGCGGCCTACTGCCCTGCCTATGTGGTGAAGAAAGTGCCAGGCTCTAAGGGTGTGGCCCTGGTGGTGGCGCCGACCGATGCTACTGATGAGTTGACCATGGATGGGCAGAGGCTGGGGGCCAAGCTCACCTGGGCCCCTGTGCCAGGCAGTGAGTTCTCATATGCTGAAGTGGATCTTGGTGTTACTGACAGTATCCACGTGGCCACAGCCACTGACAGCTTTGAGCTGCTCGTCTTCGGGCTGGACCAGCCTGTGAGCTTTGGGACAGCTGCTGCCTGCAGCCAGAGTGAGTAATAACAAATGACCTCTGGCCCTGTCCACCTGGTGACCCCTTTGCCACCTCTCCTGCCTGCTCTCCTTTCCCTCCCTCTCTATACTGTTCTGTGGCTTGGCTCAGCTGGGCTATCCCCCTCCTCATCTCTGCCCTCCCCGCCATCCTTCCTTTCCTTAGAGCTTCCTAGGCCCTCTCCCCAACAACCACTGTACCTACCCCCCAACCTCGACCAGCAGGAACAATACTCTAACTAAATGTTTAGTAACTGGTGTGATCCAGGGTCCCAGCTAGTCTGAAGAGATGCCAGCTGGAGCATGGCAGCAGGGTCCTAGAAACCCCCCCCCCCACCAGTGTCCGGCATCAGCCCTTTGTCTTTCGTTTTTGTGGGGCAGGGGCATTGGGGAGGCCAAGGTGCAGTGAGGGAGGAATCTTTGTGGGTGGCAGGCAGGGTCAGGTCAGCAGCTTCTTACCAATCCGTTTGGAAATATTTTGTTTTTAGCAACTGATATGCAACTATAGCTGTTGCTAACTATCACTCCCCCTACACCTCATATAAAGAATGCCTGAACTCAGGAGGTCTAATAATGATGGCTACCATGTGCGGGGATTTATCTCTCAATGTACCCACTCTAGGTGCCTTGTACGTGTAGGACATATGTAGGACCTGGCCCTGTGGGTACTCTCAGGTCCAGCCTGTTGAGGAACTGCCACCAGCAGTGCAGTATTTGAGGGCACAGATGCTAAAGCCAGACTTCCCACCTCTGCGTGACCTTGGACATGTGACTTCACCTCTGTGGCTCTTTGTAAAATGAGAATAATGACTGCACCCTCTCCCAGGATTGTTACGTGACAGTCTAATGAATTAACATTTGTAGAGCATTTAGTAGGTATCTGGCGAGTGAGTAGGGCTACCTAAGGGTGAGCTATTATTATGAGCAGACAGAAGGTAAGATTCTGGGAGGCAGGGGAAGAAGAGCTGTTTCTTCCATGTGGATCCCCATCCCTCCCCCTCAGAGCCAGAACCCTAGACTAGGAGTCCCAGCACTGCCAAAAATGCCCCTCCCACCCACTTTCCAGGGCATGGAAGTCACCCAACTTCAAAGGGCCATGTTGGGCTGGAATAGTAGAGTGGGGAAGGGGCAGGTGATTGGTTATAACAGGTAACACTCAACACCCACCTGGGATCAGTTCCAAACCCTACTTGTGTTTTAGCTTATTTAAACATGGCCACATCTGCTTCCCCAACTATCCCTGTGAAGAAGGTATTATTATTACCCCCATGTTACAAATGAGGAAACTGAGGCACAGAGTTTACAGTTACTCATCCAGTGTCACATAGCTAATTGGTTGAGCCAGGATGCTAACCTAGGCAGCCTGACTCGACGGTTATTTCTATTCTGTTGAACAGTCTCTGTTTTCCATTTTCTATCCTTAAAAAAAGATTCCTCAGTGGGGGAGGGTATAGCTCAGTAGTACAGTACATGCTAGCATGCATGAGGTCCTGGGTTCAATCCCCAGTACCTCCATTAAAATAAGTAAGTAAATAAATAAACCTAATTACCTCCCCCCAAAACAAAAACAAACAAAAATAAATTTAAAATTATTTTTTAAAAAAAGATTCCTCAGAAGAGGGAGACCACATGTCTGTTGACAAAGCATATAAGGAAAGTTAGTTGTTAATTTTTAAAAAATAAACCTAGCTCTAGAAAGATAGGTTTAAAAAAAAATCCGTTACCCTTTTGACCTGAGTAGGAAGGTAGGGAAGGGAGGAGGAAATGGGAGGAAAAAACCCACAAATTAACCTTTCCATGATTGTTCCTGCCAGTGGTTCTTCACCACCTGCCAGTCCTTCTGGGCTAAGCTGCGCTAAACTGGGGAACCAGAAAACCTAAGATCAGATCAGGCCTGTGCCATTCTCTCCCTGTGAGATTCCAACCTGTTTCCCCACTTCTGAAATGGGTAGTTGTGAGGCAACTGCCCAGACTCTCCAGGCGGAAGAGCTCCAGGATTCCCACCCGCGTGGACACTCCTGACTCTTTCTCTGTGCGCACCCCCTTCCCTCCCCAGCCCGGATGACCCGGGAGAGGACCTCCTGCGAAGGCAAGCAGTGCGCTTCCAGGCAGCTCTGCCAGGTGGTGGACGGGCAGGCCAGGTGCGTGGAGGCCTCTGTGGCCACCTGCCGTGCCCTGGGTGACCCCCATTACACCACCTTCGACGGCCGCCGCTACGACATGATGGGCACGTGCTTGTACTCCATGGCCGAGCTGTGCAGCGACGACCAGACCCTGCCCGCCTTCAGCGTCGAGGCCAAGAATGAACACCGGGGCAGCCGCCGCGTCTCTTACGTGGGCCTCGTGACCGTTCGCGCCTACAGCCACGTGGTGTCGCTGGTCCGCGGGGAAGCTGGCTTCGCCCGGGTAAGGATCCAGAGGAGGCTTCAGGGTTTAATATCCATGAGCCGCCCGCCAGTCAGAAAGAGGAGGGAAAGCCTGGATGTCAGTCGCCAAACCCAGGCCCTTTGCCATGGGGTGAAGGGTGCAGAGAAACGGGCCAAGGTAGTGGGACCTGGGGAGGGGGGATTTGAAAATCAATGGTAGAGCCTTAATCCCCTTTTATCCAGTGATTCTATTTCTAAAAATTTTAAGAATGCTCAAAGATATTGTTAGAAAAACAGGTTTATGCCAATATGTTTATAATGGAGAGACAGAGAGAAAACAAAATGTCCAACAATGAGGGGTTTCTTAAGTGACCAAACACTAAAAATTTAGTGAGCACCTACTATGTGCTGAGTTTGTTTCTTAGCACTTTCCATATATTAATACGTCTAATGCTCACAGCAATCTATGGGGGTAGGCTATTAACACTTTTAGATGAGGAAACTAAGGTCCAGAGAGAAGAATGACTTCCCAAAGGCTTAGGGCTCGTAAGAGATGGAACTGGGAACACTGGCAGGGTGGCTCCTGAGTCTCTGTGTTAACCTCTAGGCTTTTCTGCCTCTGGTAAATGCATTACTACTTAGCCAATATGAGTAAGAGCAGTATAATAACAGCAAAATAAGTAAAAGCAATCATTTCCCCTTTTTTCTACCATGTTGTTATAAACATGTTCAGACATCCAGAAAAGCTGAAATCATTGTACAGTGAACACTCCTTTGCTGATCACTTAGATTCTAAACATTTTACTCTCTTTAGTTTATCACACATCTGTCGTCTGTCCATCCTTCTGTCCATTCAACCATCCCTCTTATTTTTTATGCATTTCAAAGTAAGTCCTGGACATCAGCACACTTTACCCCTAAAAACTTCAATATGCACACTGTTAACTAGAATATAATATTTTTATACTTCTTTTTGCTTGCATTTGAAGTAAAATTTATACATAATAAAATCCACAGATCTTAAGTGGACAGTTCACTGAGTTTTGACAAATGTTCAAATGAAACCTCTGTTAAGATAGAATATTTTCATCTCTCTGGAAAATTCCCTCATGCCCTTTCCCGAACAATGGCCAACCCACCCAAACGGCAATCACAGTTCTGATTTTTTTCCCACCATAGATTAGTTTTGCCGGTTTAAGAATTTCATAGTAATGGAACGGTCTAGTGCAGGAAGCCTTTTGTGTAAGGCTTCTTTTGCTCAGCATAATACTTTCAAGTTTCTTCCATGTTGCTGCAGTTAGTTTTTTTAAATAAGTAAAGCATTCACAGTGCAAAACAAAAAGGCATATTGTGGAAGATCCTGCTTTTACATCTGTCTTCCCCTGCTTTCTCCCTGCTTCCCACAGGTAATTACTTGTACTGATTTTCTGAGTATTCCTCTAGGGTTTCTTTATGCCAATACAAGCAAATATCAACATACTTTCTTACCTCTCCCCTTTCTTATCAAACAGTACTGTACTTGTGCTCTGTTCTTCACTTGAGTTCTTGCACTGAACAGTGTGTTCTGGAGCTGTTTCTGTAACAGCTGGGAGGGAGCCTGCTCTTTCCTTTTTGTGGCTGCATGGCTTGCCGTCAGATGGATGCATCAGGATCCACCTAGCTCAGTTCCCTGTGGATGGATGTTTTGTTCATAATGGAAAGCAGTAGTGTAGTGAATATTCTTGTGTCTCCTTCATTCTGTGAGAATGCAGGTGGCTCTGTGAGGTTAAAAACCAAGTGATTTAAGCAGATGTTCTTGGGATATAGACAGTTTGAGTGCGAGCTCAGGAGGACCTCAGATCCCTTGAACTTGTATACAAAATTTCGCATAGGCTGTGCAGTTTTATAGGAAGGGGGTCCATTGCTTTTACCAGATCCTTACAGAAATCAATGACTTTGCAAAGGTTTAGAGTTCCTTGTAGGATTGTGGTAGAATGTTGACAAGATGTTGTTAGGAGAGAAGAGGATTTCATGACATGGTGACTTCAGCGTAGTCTAATTATTTTTTTTAAATATAAATGTATTTAAAGATAGGAAAAGAACCTGACAGGATTTGTAAACACGAGTATGTGTGCGACTACAGCAATATGGGTGATTTTCTCTTTTCTCATTTTTTGCTCATGTGTATTTTGGAAGTTTCCTGTAATGAACAAATACTACTTGTGTCACTTAAGATGAAGATCGCTGGTCTTAGTGGTGAGACGGATTTGAACAGTGGACCCTGGACTGAGAGCCTATAGATGTCGGGCCGAGGCTGTCTTGGTCATTGCCCAGCACAGACCTGGACACACAGGACGGCACTTGGAGGCGTTGCTGACTGACTGACTAACTGAACGAATGAATGATCTATCTTACCTTTCGACATCGCTCATGCTGTCCTCTCTGCTTGTTACTCCTTTTTTCACACCTCATCCTCTTGACAAAGATGAGAATGTGTGAAGAAAGAATAAGAAAGAGATGCTCAGAAAGAGGAAAATAGGCCCAGAGAGAACACACTCCTTATCTCCTAGCTGGACTCTCTCTCCACTCCCCCTCCTGGTTTTCGTGACTCTCTCTCTCTCACTGATCTTTTACAGCCTAGTTCAGCTGTCCCTTCCTCCAGGAAGCCTCCCCTGACCTGAAAGATTGGGTCTGGCCCCTTTTCTAGGCTCCCCTAGACTTCTGTGCCTCCACTATCCCAGCCCTGGCCACTCTTATCTGCCACTATCTAGTGATGGGTCTGTCTCCCTCATTGGACCGGGAGTCCCATGAGAATAAGGTCTGGGGTTGTCTTGGCCATTAGTGCATCTCCAGGATCTCCCAGGCCAGGGCCAGGCCCAGAGTCAGTGCCCAGTGAACATTATTTAATACAGCAATGGCTTCATTCCCTTACTGAGTGCCTGCTATTCTACCGGGCACTGTTCTAGGCACTGGAGACAAAGCAGTGATCAAAGCAGACAAAAATCCCTGAATTCATGGAGCTGACTAGTTGAGTTAAGCACATGATAAATATCAGGAATTTGCCAATTACGTTTTAGAAGGTTAGAATATAAAGAAAAAAAAACAGAGCAGGGAAGGGGACTAGGGAATAGGGAGGGGCTGCTGCATAAGATAGGGTGGTCAAGGATGGCCTCACTGAGATGGTGACATCTGAGCAAAGCTCTTGTAAGAGGTGAGGAAATGAGCTGTGTGTCCATCTAGGGGAAGAATGTTTCAGGCCACAGGGAAGGCAAGAGCAAATATCCTGAGGCTCGGTCGGTGGCAATAACAGGAGAAAGGAATCCCCATGCAGCTAGAGCAAGGGAAGTGAGGGGGAGATGAGGGGCTGAGGGCCAGACCCCACAGGAATCTGACCATTCCCTCCTCACTCCCTCTGCAGATCGACAACCAGCGCTCACGCCTGCCTGCCTCCCTGGCCAAGGGCCGCCTGCGTGTGTACCAGAGTGGGACCCAGGCCATGGTGGAGCTGGACTTCGGGCTGGTGGTCACCTATGACTGGGATGCCCAGCTGGCACTGACCCTACCCGTCCGCTTCCAAGACCAGGTGTGCGGACTGTGTGGCAACTATAATGGCGACCCCACTGATGACTTCCTTACATCTGACTATGAGCAGGTTGCTGATGTTGTGGAGTTTGCCAGTAGCTGGAAGCTGGACGACGAGGACTACCTTTGTGAGGACGGCTGCCAGGACAACTGTCCCTCCTGCACCCCCGGCCAGGCCCAGAACTACGAGGGCAGCCGTGTCTGCGGCATGCTGACCCAGCTCGACGGCCCCTTTGCCGTCTGCCATGATGCCCTGGACCCTGAGCCCTTCCTGAAGGATTGTGTGTATGACCTGTGTGTGGTCAACGGGGACCGGGCCAGCCTGTGCCGTGGCCTCGGCGCTTATGCCCAGGCCTGTCTGGAGCTTGGCATCTCTGTTGGGAACTGGAGGTTGTCAGCCAACTGCCGTGAGTGATGTCCTGGTTAGGGGGCTGGGGGCGCATGATGGGAGGCAGGAGACCACTTGCATCTGCTCAATATCTGAGCATTGACTCTGGTCCCTCCTGGAGCTGGACCATGCCAGGCACACAGCTATGGCCAAGATGGCCAGGCTCTGCCCTTAGTGAGCCTAAAGTTGGGGCAGATGTATCACTAGACAGTGACAGTCCGGAGTAGTCAGGGCTGGGATGGGGGATGTTCAAGGGGGGTATGGGAGACCAGAGAAGCTTCCTGACTCAGCCTTAGGGGGTTAAGGAGGATCTCCTAGAGAAAGGGATGCCCCATCTGAAGCCTGTAGGAGGACTGGAACTAGACAGAAAAAAGGGGGTGTAGGCAGGAAGTGGGTTCCAAACTGAGAGAAGGGCATGTGCAAAGTCTTGGAATGAGATGTAGTCTTCAGAGTCCCAAAGCAGACATGTGAACATCTCTTCGTTTATAACCCTTCCATGACTCCCCAGTGTCTTCTGGATAAAGTCCAAGCTCCACAGCCAGGTATCCGTTCACTGAATCATTCATTCACTCATGTATTCATTCAACATGCATCCCTTGAGCCCCTATCTGGCCCCATCCCTGTGCTGGTGATGGGCACAATGGGGATCAACGTGCACCTGTCCCTGCCTTTTTGAGGCTCCCAGAGAAATGTTCAAGAGGCAGAAAAGCTAGGGCAGAAAAGAGGAGGAAGCTTCCAGGCCCAGGCCCAGGGCTTGAGACAGGGACTCCAGAGAGGAGTAAGTCTAGGTGAGACACTGATCAGTGCCTATGTCATTGATGTGTCCTCACTGCTCAGTAAAACTCTCCCCGCCCATCTCCTCACCACTGAGTTCCCCAGTGCCTGGTGCAAAAGAGGAACCAGTACTTTCATCTATCAACCGAGTAATTTCCGTGGTGTTTATTGGGCATCTCCTGTGAGCCAAGCCCTGTCCTTGGTGCTGGAGATTCAGCCGTGTTTGAGACAGATCAGGTTCCTACTCTCACAGAATTTATAATCCTAGTGGGGAAGACAGACAGTAAGCAGTAAAATATGAGATAGCTTCAGAGAGCAAAAGAAACAGAGTTCGTGTGATAAGAGCAAACGGGAGGCTCATGAAGCGATGGCTCAGGGAAGGCCCTTCTGAAGAAGTGCTATTGGAGCAGAGACCAGGATGAGGCAGTGGAATCAGCTAAGTCATAATGCTGCTCATGGAGTGTCTCTACATAGATGAACCCCTGATCATATCAGGACTATTATTATGCCATTTTACTGATGGGGAAACCAAGGCACAGGGAGACTGGAGTCACACAGCTAAAAAGAGGAGAGCTGGGATTTGAACCCAGCCCATCTGGGTTCCAGTAACCTTCTCTTGACCATGTATTACACTGCCTTCTGAGGAAAGGCCAGTATGGGCAGAGGGAACGGCGACTGCAAAGGCCCTGAGGCAGGAGTGTGAGGACCAGAGAAGAGGGACAGAGTGAGCCATTGGGAGAAAATATGAGGACAGAGGGGGTGATGAGGGCAGATCTGGCTCATGGGAAGCCTCATGGACCAACAGGAGGACTTCGGGTTTTACCCGGAGCAAGCCAGAGCCAGAAAAGAGCTCTCAGCAGGAGAAGGGTGTCCCCTGAATCACAGGATCCCTCTGGCTGCAAGTGAGGAATAGGATGGGAGAGGGGGTGAGAGCAGGAGGGAGACCAGACAGGAGGCTGCCAAGGTGAATAGGACTAGGGTGGGGACTGTGGTGAAAGGAGAAGGGGGCAGATTCTGGAGAGATCTTGAATGTGGAGCTCACAGGATTTACAGACAGGCTGGTTGTCCAGTCAGTGAGGGTAAGGGAGTCAACTTACTCAGTCAACAAACTGAGGTTTGGGGCCTATGCACTGTCTGGAAGGCTGGAAGTGCCTTTAACTGAGATGGGAGCTCTGAGGGAGGAGGGGGCTTTGGGGAGGGAAGTCCAGGCACGTTCCCAACTGAGTGTCCCCTGGAGGAATGGCTGTGCTGACCTGCCCCGCCCTCCCGTGTCCCCACAGCCCTGTCCTGCCCAGCCAACAGCCGCTACGAGCTCTGCGCCCCCGCCTGCCCGACCTCCTGCAACCCCTCGGCGGCGCCATCCAACTGCTCTGCGCGCCCATGCGTCGAGGGCTGCGTGTGCCTCCCGGGCTTCGTGGCCAGCGGTGGCGCCTGCGTGGCGGCCTCATCCTGCGGCTGCATCTTCCAGGACCGCCTGCTCGCGCCCGGCCAGACAGTGTGGGGCGACACGTATTGCCGACAGCGCTGCACCTGCGACGCCGCCACCCAGCAGATGATCTGCAGCGACACGCAGGGCTGCCCGACGGGCGAGCGCTGCCGCGTCCAGAACGGCCTCCAGGGCTGCTACCCCGACCGCTTTGGGAGCTGCCAGGCATCTGGGGACCCGCACTACGTGAGCTTCGACGGCCGGCGCTTCGATTTCATGGGCACCTGCACATACCTGCTGGCCGGCTCATGCGGCCAGGTCGCCGAACTGCCCACCTTCCGGGTGCTGGTGGAAAACGAGCATCGGGGCAGCCAGACCGTGAGCTACACGCGCTCCGTGCGCGTGGAGGCCCTTGGTGTGAAGGTGGAGGTGCGCCGGGAGTACCGCGGGCGAGTGCTGGTGAGCAGGGGGCAACCGGGGCGGGTGGAGGGGTGGGGAACCCCCCTTAAAGACTAGGGATCTGGCCCCTGGGGCAGGTGGGGATCTGTTAGAAGACCTTATGGCCAGTGGATAGGCTGAGGCCCCCAAGCCGGATGGTGCTGTCTCTCTGGACACCTGGCTCTGTATCTCAGTGCCTTGTTCTGTCCTCTGTCAAATAGGGTAATAAGAGAGTGCCTCCCCATGGGAGCAGCTTCATCAGACGATTGTGAGTTAATATTAGTAGGATGTTTAAAAGAAATCTTGGCACCCAGCAAGTGTTTTTAACATTTTATCGTTATGAACCCTCCAAAGTTACAGATTTATGCATTTTCTGGAGAGTGATTGCATTTCAGAGAGTAGGATGACATGTGAAAAGTTGGAAACTAGAGGTATGCCTGTGGGATATAGAGTGTGTGATGGGGATGGGTGGCTCATAGATGGGCCCACATCATTCAATCTCTGTAACAACCCTGTGAAATAACTAATCTTATTAGAGGAGAAAACTGAGGCACAGAGAAGGTAAGTCACCTATTTAAGGTCACACAGCTAATGAGTGGCAGAACCAGGATTTGAAGCCAGGCTATCTAGCTCCAGAATCCTTACTCTTAACCTCTACATTCGGCTGCCTCTCTTGAAGAAAGAGATGGAACAAGCAGGGAGAGAAGTGGATGGAAGAGTATTCCAGACAGAAGGAACAGTAAATGCAAAGGCTTTAAGGCAGGAATAAGCATGAGGGGTAGAGGAACAACATGGAGGCCAGTGGAGCTGGAATGGAAGGAAGGAGGGGAGAGCGAGGTAGAGGATGATGTAGGGGATGGCTATGTTAGAGGCTTTTGATTTAAGCTGAAACCTGAAAGATGAGGAAGACACCACCAGTGAAGGGTGATCCTGCTTAGTAGTCCACCTAGGCAGAGGGAGCAACAGGTGCAAAGACTGATGCTGTGCTGGGCTTGAAGAGTGTAGAAGAAAAGCATGGGGCCAAGGAGGCTGCACCTGAGACAGTGAGGCTGGGGAGATGGGGCAAAGAGGTTGGTAGGAGATGAGGTCAGAAAAGTGAGGACAGGGCCTGATGGGTAGAGGGAATTGATTTTAAACTGAAACTTGAAGGGTGATGGGGAGGCAGCCAGATAAAGAATAAAGATGTGGAAGGGGGTAAGAAAGTTGCAAGCAGAGGGTACAAAAAGTGCAAAGGTCCTGAGGCAGGGCTGAGCCTGGTGAGTTCAAGAGAATATCAAAATACCTGCATGGCTAGAGATGCAAGGGTAGGGAATGAGGCAGTCCAGGAGAATTCAACTGGAGAGCAGTGAGGCTCGGATCGTGTATGGCCTTTTAGGCCATTGTAAGGGGTTTGGATCAAAGCTGACACCTAAAAGATGAAGTAGAGGTGGCCAAGGAAAGGGTAATGGGTTGTATTCCAGGAAGAAGTCACGGCAAGTGCGAATGCCCAGAGGTGAGAGTGCACTTGATATGTCCTGGGAGATAGCAAGGAGCCTGAGTGAGTGATGTGGGAGGTGGCACAGGCACAAATGTAGACAGAGCCAAGGTTAAGCAGGACCTTCTAGGAAAGGGGCTTGGATTTAAGCCAAGTCCTGGAGGATGAAGGGGAAGCATCCAGGAGGAAAGTTGTAGGCAGTGTTCTTGGCAAAGTGAAAGGCCCTATAGTTAGACTAAACTGGGAGAGTTAGAGCAATATCAGGAAAGCCAACGTGGCTGGAGCAGAATGAGGGGAACAGTGGGAGGTGAGGTCAGGGAGGTAATGAGGGGACAGATCCTATATGCTTTGAAGGCCATGGGTTAGGGATTTGGATTTAAGCTGATACTCAAAGGATAAACAGAGGTGGATGGTGTGCCAGGCAGAGGGAACAGCCAGTGCAAAGGCCCTGAGGTGGGATCAAACATAATGTGTTCAAGAGAATAGCAAGGAGCCCAGAATAGCTGGAGCTGAGTGAGGGAGGAGTGGGCCACAAAGCCATGAATACCCTGACCCCTTGGCCCTCTCGCATCTCTACCCAGGTGGACGGCGTCCTTCAGTACCTGCCCTTCCAGGCAGCAGATGGGCAGGTGCAGGTGTTCCGCCAGGGCCAAGATGCTGTCGTGCGTACGGACTTTGGCCTGACTGTCACCTACAACTGGGATGCCCATGTGACGGTCAAGGTGCCTGGCAGCTACTCTGGGGCCCTGTGTGGGCTCTGTGGGAACTTCAATGAGGACCCAGCTGATGACCTGGCTCTGCGAGATGGAGGCCAAGCTGCCAATGCACTGGCCTTTGGGAATAGCTGGCAGGAGGAGACGAGGCCGGGCTGTGGAGCGGCCCAGCCAGGTGACTGTTCCCAACTGGACTCCCTGATGGCCCAGCAGCTTCAGAGCAAGAAGGAGTGTGGGATCCTTGCTGACCCCGATGGGCCCTTCCGGGAGTGCCACGACACGCTGGACCCACAGGGTGTTCTGCGCGACTGTGTCTATGACCTCTGCCTGCTGCCAGGCCAGTCTGGACCACTGTGTGATGCACTGGCCTCCTATGCTGCTGCATGCCAGGCCGCTGGCGCCACTGTGCACTCCTGGAGGAGTGAGGAATTTTGCCGTGAGTACCGGGAGTGACAACTGGGGGGCCTAGCCTTGTGTATATTCATTAACGTATATATATCATTAACTCATTTAATTCTCGTAACAGCCCCATGAAGTAGGGGCTGTGGTTATATCCATTTAACAGATGAGGAAACAGAGGCTCAGAAAGGCTATTACCTGCCTGGGATCCTGACAGCTAGGAAGTCGCAGATGCAGTAAATATTTGTTAAGATGACTGAATACATCTGGTGGCCTCAAGTCTGATTCCCATTTGGCAGCTGTCATTCAGAGATGAACAACAGTGCTGCCCTTAGAAGGAGACTGGTCCCCTTTCCAGTTCTCCTTGGACCCCATCTGGCCTAGGTCCCCCACCCCCTCGGAAGCCCCTTCATGCCCCTTCCCAGCACACTAAAGTTTTTGAACTTCGTGTAAGTGGAACCATACATCTCTAGTTTTTTATCCTAAATAATTGCAAAAGATGTAATTTCTGGCAAATAGTAACTTTTAACTTTTAAAAATCTTTTTATTATGGAAAAAATTTTAACATACTCAAAAGGAGAGAGAACAGGCTAATAAACCCTCATATCCATCACCTAGTTTCCACAATTATCAACATAACATTGACATTTTGAAATGAAATTCTTCCTTGACTTATGTCACTCTTTTAACTGTGTTGAACAGGTAGACACCACACAATGGCACACATAGAAAAATACATGATAAATCCATGAATGTCACATCATTCCTCTTTCTCCTTCAACATATATTCATTCATTCATTCAACAAATATTTGTTGAATACCTGCTGTATTCCAGGTGCTGGGGATACAGTGGGAAAGAAAATAAGAAAAACAAACAAGCAAACAAAACCTTGCTCTCCTGAACTGACATCCTAAGGGTTTCCAGTTCTAGCAGAATTTAACCTGATGTAATTATCTACCTACATTGAAAGCCTCAGTTTTGATCACTGCATCAGTTAGTTTTTGCTGGGTAACATCAAATTTATTTGGAGATGGAAACATCCCCCAAATCTGGTGGATTAACACAACAAGTATTCATTATTTCTCGTGATGCTGTGGGCCACTGAGCTGTTCTCCTAGTCTGGGCTAGTGTGCACTGTCTGCAGGCTGCTGGTGGCTCCGTCGGGGCTGGATGGCCTACAGTGGCCTGAGTCACATTTGGCAGTTGTTAGGCTGGTCGGTTGGGAGGACCTCATTCTCTGTTCTGCCGGGCCTCATTTTCCATCCGGCTAGCACAGTGGTCTGGAGGTTCCAAAGAGCAGCAAGAGGGGGCAGCGTCCAGTGGGTGAGCAGGGCAAGCACACTCCAGGCCTTGGCTTGGTGTCACATTTGCTAACGTCCCATTGGCCAAAGCCAGTACCGCAGCCAAACCCAGAGTAAGGGAAGGCCATCGTCAGTCTGTCACAATCCCCATCATACTTCTCTGCCATAAATATATACATGAGTGAGCAACATTTACTAATTTTTAGAAACACCTGAGACCATAGACTCTAAGTGTTAAAAAAAAAAAAGGATGGTGTGAGTTATCATTGCAAGTATCATTAGTACACAACTGATAAAAATATTAAGGATAAAAAACAGAATGTAACGGAAAGGCAGCTCTTAATGAGATGGGTGGGGCTTTCTCCCCAGTCATTCACGTCTGTTGTTAGAAGGAGACAGGGTTCAGCATCAATCCTATTTTTCGTTTTTGTAGGTAAGATACTAGGAAGCGGGTGGAAGTGGCAGGAGTTCTGATAGGGCAACGTCACTCCATCCTCTGAACTCCTTTTGAGTTGTAGGGAAGTCGGTCACACTGAGAGTCACCATAAAACTTACTTTTTATGACCTCTGAGCAGCCGATTCTATGGGGCCCTCCTTCTGTTTTGTCCGGAGCAGAGTTGGAACTACCAGTATTGATTTGTCATCCATTGTCTCCGACTTACAGCAATATTTGAAATTGTCCCTTCATGGCCCCAGAGGTTTCACATTCCCATGGCGGCACACCGTGTGAAGATTCAGGATGGGTGGGGACTGCACGGTTCTCTTCTGTAAAGTGGGAGAAGCGAGTTTGCAGAAGGGACGGTGGGAAAGGAGATGCGCCTCCCAGGTGAATAATTCTCAGGCCGCTGGTTTCAGGAAGGACACGCATGATTAGAGCTAGCACTTGTGTGGCACACTTCCTGCTGGACAGGTCCTGTCTCAGTTACAGTTTACAGTTCTCATTTCATCCTCACCACCACCCGGTGAGGTGGGATTGTTCTTCTTCCTATTTTACAAAATGAGGAAATGGAACCACAGAAATATTAAGTAACTTGCCTGGGATTACACAGCAGGGCAGCACGATTTGAGCCCAGGCAGGTTGGCTCCTAAATCTGTACTGTTAATTGCTGCATTCTGTGACCTCTGTAGAAATTAAGAGTCTCTTATTTCCTTAAAACTGGTTTTGCCCTTGGACCCCTTGGAAGTTCTAGAAGACTGGGTTATGAGACTTCAGGGAGAGGGAGGCCTGGGATGGGATGTAAACCCATACGCCCAGCACCAGCTTCAACTACTATGGGTATTTTGCGATTCTCATTCCTCTATCCCCTCCACTGGCCCTTTCTTTTTTTATTTTGCAGAAATATTTTAAAGGAAATTCTAGACATGTGAGTTTTCCCACAAATACTTTAATAAACATCTCCAACAGATAGGACTTTTAAGAAACACTACTACAGTGCTGTTATTACCAAATAAGAAAAATAACACTAATTCCTTAACATCATCTAAAGCCCAGCCTAGGTTCAAATTTTCCCAATTGTCTAAAAAATGTATTTTTTCAGTTTACTCAAATGTGGAGCCAGACCAAATCCGTACTGCTTTGGGTTGATTTCTCTTTAATCATTTTTATTTTGTAATAGTCCCATTTCTTTTTTCTCCATCATATTATTGTGAACAATTTCAAATACACAGAAAAGTTGAAAGAAAGTTGACAGTGAATACCCAATACTTAACTACCTAGATTCTACTATCTGTTTTACTATACTTGCTTTATCATATGTCTCTCCTTCTATCCACCCCTCTCTTTGTTCATGCCATTTATTGGAAAAAACAGATCATTTCCCGTACAATTTCCTACATAGCTTACACACACACACACACACACACACCTTACATGCATATGCATGTTTAAAATACGTACCACAGATCCACAAATTGTTACCAATTTGAATACGGTCATTAAAGACACTACAGATAAGCCCGGGCCATGGTTAAGTTGGAATAGAACCTTAATGATCAGGATTAGATTAACTGTGTTGTAATCTGTGACCCAGGTCCCACTGAGCAGGGGGCTCCTTTCCGCTGGACCGCTTACACGTGTGAGCGTGTGTGAGCATGTGTGTGCACAGCGTGTGTGTCGGGGGCCCACTGTGTCACTGGGGAGCAGGGATTCTTGATGCTGATGGTCGCTCTCCCTGCAGCGCCCAGCTGCCCGCCCCACAGCCACTACGAGGTGTGTTCCTACGGCTGCCCGCTGTCCTGCGGAGACGTCCCAGTGCCCGGGGGCTGCAGCTCCAACTGCAAAGAGGGCTGCGTGTGTGACGACGGCTTTGTGCTCGACGGTGAGTCCTGCGTGCAGCTGCCCTCCTGTGGCTGCGTGTACCAGGGCGCCTACCACCCGCCCGGCCAGACCTTCTACCCGGGACCGGGTTGCGATTCCCTTTGCCACTGCAAGGAGGACGGCCTGGTGTCCTGTGAGTCCTCCACCTGCGGCCCACACGAGGCCTGCCAGGTGTCGGATGGTGTCCTGGGCTGCGTGGCTGTGGGCTCTGCCACCTGCCAGGCGTCGGGAGACCCCCATTACACCACCTTCGACGGCCGCCGTTTCGACTTCATGGGCACCTGTGTGTACGCACTGGCTCGGACCTGTGGCACCCAGCCTGGCTTGGCCCAGTTTGCAGTCCTGCAGGAGAATGTGGCCTGGGGCAATGGGAAAGTCAGTGTGACCAGGGCGATCACTGTCCAGGTGGCCAACTTCACCCTGCAGCTGGAGCAGCAGCAGTGGAAGGTCACGGTGAGAGCTGGGGCAGAACGTGAAGGGGAGGGAGCCTGGGGTAGAGGGCGATCTGTGGGTGGGGCATGCGCAGCATTCAGTGGGGTGGGGGGTGCAGTGGGTGCAGAGGTCGGACTGGATGTGGGAGGCATGAGGTCCCTGCGGAGAGGAGGTGCCAGTCAGAGCCTACAGTGCGGGAACCAAGGAGGCAAGAGGCCTTGGGGACCTAGACCTGCTCCCATGTGGCTCAGTCTGCCCTCTCCCTGCCCCTAGATTATCACTTCTGGATGTCTCTCCCACTCCCTCCTTCCTTCCATCATCCCTCCCACCCCAGTCCCTGCCCCAGCCACCTCCTGGTCTCCTGGCCAGTGGTAGAACATCATGCAGTCAGTGGCTGGAAAGGTTCAAGGAAAGAGGACAATCTGCAAGTGACCCCATCACCCCTTAACATCCACAGCAACAGCAATAACAGCAGTGATGGTTTTTACACGGCTGACCCCAGACCCTGTTGGCTGCTAAGCACTTCACATCCCCAGTGTCATTTTATCCTCACAACAGTAACTGGAAGTACCATGATTTACTTTATTTTTTTAGAGGGGGAAGCTCCATCACTAGCCCAAGGCCCTCTAGCAAAGGCAAGACTTGAATCCAGGATACTGTGCCAGGAAACAGCACACTGGACCCTGGGTGCTCTGGGGTGACACTTTTCTGACGGAGAAGGATTTGGTCTTCTATGGAAACTGGCATTTCTCTTACACTAGACGGATTTCCCCAGAGATTCCACATAGTCATTGTACTAGTAGCAGTATTGACAATGAGGATGCTGATCAGTAGCTGACTTTTTCAGGGGCTCACTATGCACTGAACATGTGTTAGATGCTTTTATATAGTCTCTCATGTAGCCAAAGCTCCTGGAAAAGTGCCTGCCATATGGTTGGCTCTAAATTAATATGAATTGTGAGTGTTCTTGTTATTTACATCTCACTGAATCCCCCAGGTTCTCTCTTGGGTAGAAATTACTGTTAGCCCACTTTACAGATGAGAAAACTGAGGCACAGAAGTTGCGTCACTTGTCCTTAACCACTACTCATCCCTGCTTGGGAAGTATGGTGGTTGACTGTTTTTAGGAGATTCAGTCAGGAGCGTGTCTTTCTCCTGCCTTCTCTGATTCCTCACACTTCCAAAAGGATCTAATGCTCATCGCATCTGCCTTCAGGAAGGATGAGCAACTGTCTTAATCGGGGGTGGGTTTACGAGGCTTTGTTGGTGCCCAGCAGCCTTCAACTGAAAACCACTAGTTCTTGACTCATGGATTAGAAGTTCATTTCCCCCAGAAATTTAGCCTGACTTTCCACCCATGGGATGCTTAAAGCAAAAATTCTTAGCACTCACTCCTCAAAATAAAAACCTCCAGCTATGGCTAATAATAACAGCGAATGCTCCCAGAACACCCATTCTGTGCCAGACACATTCCTCAGCACTTTCCAAATTTCAATATATCTAATCCAAATGAGGTACCTAATCTATGGGGTAGGTACCTCATTCCCACACAGTAGATGAGGAAACAGAAACAGAGGTGATTCGCCTGCCCAAGTTCGCAGAGAGTAAGGGGCAGAGATGCATTTGAGCCCAGGCCGATGACTCTGGAGTCAATCACTGCACTGTCTATCACAGCAGTAAGAGGTGAATAAACGATAGCGGGTAAGGGTGGAGCTCCACTGAGACCTGCATCTGTTCTGCTGTAACAGGTTACCACCAACTTGGTGGCTTAAAACAACAGAAATTTTCTCACAGTTACGGAAGCCAGAAGTCCAAAATCAAAGTGTTGGCAAGAGCTGCACCCCCTCCAAAGGCTCTGGGGTAGAATCCCCCCTTGCCTCTTCCAGCTTCTGGTGGTTGCAGGTGTTCTTGGTTTGTGGCCACGTCACTTCTGCCTCTGTCTTCATCATCACATGGCCTCCTCCTCTGTGTGTTTCTGTATCTTCTCCTCTTCTGGCTTCTTTAGGGACATTCTTCATTGGACATAGGGCCCACCCTAATCCAGGATGATCCCATCTCAAGATCATTACGCTACTTGCATCTGCAAAGACGCTTATTCCAAAAAAGGTCATATTCTGAGGTTCTGGATGGTCATATCTTTGGGGGGCCACCATTCAACCCACTACAAGACCCTATTATTATGCCCATTTTAGAAATAATGGAAACTAAGACCCAAAGAGTGTGGTCATGTGGATCTTCCATGTCGGGCAGGGGCTTGATCTTGGGTCTGCCCTCTCAAAGGGTACCCTCTGAAGCACAGCATCTCCCACCTCCCAGGTGAACGGTGTGGACATGAGGCTGCCAGTGGTGCTGGCCGAGGGCCAGGTCCGTGCCTACCAGCATGGCTCGGATGTTGTGATCGAGACTGACTTTGGCCTGCGAGTGGCCTACGACCTCATGTACAACGTGCGGGTCACCGTCCCAGGCAACTACTATGAACAGCTGTGTGGCCTGTGCGGGAACTACAACGACGACCCCAAGGATGACTTCCAGAAGCCCGATGGCTCACAGGCAGGCAGCTCCAATGAGTTCGGCAACTCCTGGGAGGAGGCAGTGCAGGACTCTCCTTGTCTGCCACCGCCCACCTGCCAGCCTGGCGGGGACTGCGACTCTGACTTTAATTGTGAACCTGAGCTGCAGGAGAAGTACGAGCAGGAAAATTTCTGCGGGCTCCTCACCAGCACCACTGGGCCGCTGGCCACCTGCCACGAGCTGGTGGATCCCCAGGGTCCCTTGCAAGATTGTGTCTTTGATCTCTGCGTGGGGGGTGGGAATGAGAGCATTCTCTGCAACAACATTCATGCCTATGTGAGTGCTTGCCAGGCGGCTGGAGGCCACGTGGAATCCTGGAGGACCGAATCTTTCTGTCGTGAGTGAGGGGCAGAGCAAGTGGGAGGCAGAGGCACAGAAGGGGCAGACCCTGGGCCCTGCAGCCCCTCACTCCCGGGGGCTCTGACCCGCACCCCCTCTTTGCAGCGATGCAGTGCCCCGCTAACAGCCACTACGAGCTGTGTGCGGACACCTGCTCCCTGGGCTGCTCGGCGCTCAGTGAGTCTCCACAGTGCCCGGATACCTGTGCCGAGGGCTGCCAGTGTGACTCCGGCTTCCTCAATGACGGCCAAGCCTGCGTGCCCATCCAGGAATGCGGCTGCTTCAGCAATGGGATCTACTATGAGGTAGGAACCCAGTCATCCCGGGCAGAGCCGGGGGCTACATGCTGAACCCCCCTCCCACTACCCATCAGCCCCACAGCCTGTCCACTAGGCCTCCTGTATGTCCCTCCCACCCATCCTTCCCCTCCCCATGGCCCTACCATGGTCCAGTTTGTCCTCTCCCAGTTTGCTCCCTCCCAGCCCTCACTTTTGCTCCCTCCCTCTGGACCGCTGTCCTCACGGTAGCTGGAAAGACCTTTCTGAATATGACCATAGGTCCTGCAACTTGAAACCCTCCCCTGGCTCCCCAGGTCATGTTTCGGCTTTGAATCCCAGGTCTAGATTTTGTCTCTGTTATACCAGCGGCTAACTCCCTTGGCTTCCCTCTCCTACTCTCTCAGAGTTATTCCTTTTCCTTGGATTTGAGTGTGTGTTCATCTAAAGTCAGTCTCCCTCAAGGATTTGAGGGCTCTGTGAGGATATGGACCCTCTCTGTTTTTCTCCTACTATGAATGATAATACTGACAGCAAATAGGTAGATGATGCTTACTATGTGCTGATTACTGCTTTAAGTGCTATATGTATAATATACATGCATTACATGAATATATAAGCTTTGTATTATAAAATTTTTTACACGTGCAAAAGTCAAGTACAATACTTCTCCATGTACTGCCACTCAGCTTCCAAACTAACCAACATTTTCCCAGTCTTGTTTCATCTCTACCCCTGTTTCCTCTCCAGTCTGGATGTTTAAAGGAAATCCCTTTTCATTTCATCTATACTTTATATGTATTGGTAATTCAGTTATATTTTCAGGAGTTGGTGCTTTTATTACCTGTAACTTACAGGTGAGGAAACTGAGGCAGAATGAGGTTAAACAATTTGCACAGAGTGATATAACTCAGAAATAACAGAAACAGGCTTCAGACCCAGGCAATCTGCTCCAGAATCTTTGCTCTTAATTCCTATAATGTATCATTTCTCCTACACAGCAGACATTCAGTGGAGATTTTGGAATAAATAACTGAGTGAGTAAATGAATGAAAGTGAATGAATGAATTTGACCCCCAAGGCCACAGACAAGGGGCCATCCTGCTGGAAGATGTCCCTTTTATGTCCTCCAGACCCCTTTGTGCCCAGAACACTGGAGTTGCCAGAGCCAGCTCCCACCCTGATAGCCATGTCCTCTGTCCCCCTTGCAGCCCGAGCAAGCAGTACTCATTGACAACTGCCAGCAACAGTGCGTGTGCCACCCCGGAAAAGGCCTGGCATGCCAGAACCACAGCTGCAGTCTAGGGCAGGTGTGCGAGCCCTCTGGAGGCGTCCTGAGCTGCGTCACCAAAGGTGCTGGGTTGGGGCTGGGGCTGGTGTGGCTGGGGAAAAGAGGACAGGGACTCTGGAGCTGAGGCTGGGGTGACCTGGATCTTCATGATGGGAAGCACAGAGGACTAAAGATTGAATTCTCAGACCTGGGGACCCTTAGGCTGGAATTCCTGGGACCAGGGGCAGAGGCCTTCCAGGCTGGGAGTCAGGGACCCTTCTGGTAGAATCCAGGCTGTGGGGACCCTCAGGCTGGGTTTCCCAGGGTAGTTGGCAGAGACCTTCAGTGTAAGGCAGGGGCAGGCAGACTTTTTCCCTAAAAGGCCAGATGGTCAATATTTAAACTTGCAAGCCATATGGTCTCTGTCACGACTACTCAACTCTGCACTGCGGCGTGAAATCAGCTGTAGACTATGTGAGTGAAGGGATGTGACTCCAGTAAGATTTTATTTACAGAAACAGGCAGCTGGCAGCACATAGTTTGCTGACCACTGGTTTGTGGGGTTAGGCTCACGGCTTCAGACACCATGCCCCAGGGGTAGGGGAGACTGGGGCCTACAGGGACAGGGCAGGAAGCAGAGTCCTGAGTTCTCAGGCAGAGACCCTACCAAGGCCAGGATCTTGGATACAGGACCCACCTCAAGTGGAGGGTCAAGATTTATAGGGACACAGTTTCAGATAGGAGACACCCTCCCCAGTTTAAGTCTAAGACACAGAGCACCCCCCAGGACTGTTTCTTAGGGTGAAGGGCAGGGAGTAAGTCCCTTATTCCCAAGGATAAGGGATATACCTCCAGAGCTGATTGAGCCCTCAGGGCTGATGGGCAAGATAACAGGGGCTCCCAGGGACTGGGGTATCATGGTCGGAGTCCAATCAGGAGGCAGAAGCCACACAGTAGCTTAAATAGGGAAAGTTTAATAGGATTCTTTGCTTGTAATAGGGATTGACTTCCAAGGGATAAAAAGAACGCTAACGAACACAAGAAGAGCAGATGTAGGGAGCAACCCTGGCCCCAAAGGCTACAGCAGAGGACCCAAGGAAGGGAGGAATTGGGAAGAGGGCTCCCAATCCAAGGCCAAGACACAGATCTTATTGAAGGGTGATAGGGAGCTTGCGCCGGCTGGTCAGGAAAACTCCATTGGGATTTTTGCTGGTAAAACTCATTGGGAAGCTGCCTGCCAGAGTGACTCGCTGGGAAACCAGCTAGAACCAGTGGACCTCCCTGGGTGGGTGTCCCCCATACTACTGGCCCTGCTCGTCACCAGGAGCCGGGAGAACAAATCCTGCTGGAAGCATGACCAGACGCCCCTTCCTCCTGCTATGACCCTCCAGCGCCCTCTGCTGACAAAGCCTAACTCTCTCCGTGGATTTGAAGCTAAGGGGCAGTCGATAGAAAATTGGCGCAGGGGGACAGAAAAGGAAGTTTAAGACTGGGGTTGGGCATAGGGGTTGCAAAGACTGGGGTCACAGATTCAGTAGCCCTAGGGACAGCATATTGGACAAAGAGTCCCTTGGAGGTAGGGCCTCAGAAATGAGTTTTCCCCCAAGGCCAGGGTTTCAGGTGCAGCAACCCCAGGGAGATCGAGTCTTGCAAAGAGCGATCCTGAGGCCCATAAGCCTTAGATACAGGGACCCCAGCGTCAGGGTCTCAAATGCTGGGGCCTCTGTGGTTAGTTTTTCACCAGAAAGTTCCTGCAGTACCTTGGTCTTGGGCACAGAGACCTCCAGGACCTGGTCTCAGCTGGTGGCCCCCAGGAGGCTAGGAACTCAGGGATGGGGGAACCCGGGGCCCAGGCCTTGAACACAGAGAACCCTGGGCTGTGGGTGTCCTCATGGATGCCCACGGGGCTGGCGTCACAGACACAGGAACCCCTAGGGCTCTGGCCTCAGACCTCAGTCTTCTGGGGCTGAGATCTCAAGCCAGGGGACCCCAGAACCTGGGTCTCAGATGTAGAGACCCTAGATTCTGGGTCTTGGCTGAAAGGACCTTGGGTCCTAGGTCTCAGACAGCAAACTGCAGGGCCTGCATCTCAGATGTGGGGACTTTTGACAGGGTCTTGGACACAGTCCACCACTTGGCCTGAGTTTCAGACATAGAGGGGCCTCAGCGCCTGGTCTCAGAAACAGCAGACTGTAGTGCTTGCATCTCAGATATAGGGACCCTGCAATCTGGTCTCACACACGGTAACCCTTAGAGCCAGTATCCCTGGCACAGCCTGGGGCTGCTGCTGGGAAGCAGCTGGCCTTACGCTGGGCAGCCCCTGAAAGTCCTCTCTCCTCTGCCCCCAGACCCGTGCCACAATGTGACGTGTCGGCCACAGGAGACGTGCAAGGACAAGGATGGCCAGGGCGTGTGTGTGCCCAACTACGAGGTCATGTGCTGGCTTTGGGGCGACCCACATTACCACTCCTTCGACGGCTGGCACTTTGACTTCCAGGGCACCTGTAACTATGTGCTGGCATCAACCAGCTGCCCAGGAGTCAATGCCCAGGACCTGATACCCTTCACTGTCACCACCAAGAATGAGAACCGGGGCAACCCTGCCGTGTCCTTTGTGAGACTGGTCACTGTGACTACCCTCAACACCAACATTTCCATCCACAAAGGCGAAATCGGCAAAGTCCGGGTAAGGATGGTCCCTTGAGCCCCCCAGTAGGGTGGGAAGGGTCCTGCCGGTCACAGTTAGGAGCTCATACTCTCTCTCTTCCCTTGGTCCTGGAACAAAGTGTCAGCAAGAGCAGCAATAATTATAGCAGAGACATCACCCCTCTACTGGGAATTAAATGAATCTAGCCCTTTGTTAAGGGCTATAATGTAGGACTTCAGAATTTGCCTTTTTAGAGACCTGGGTTAGAATTCTTTATGAGCTGGGTGATGTTGGGCAAATGACTTGACTTGGTGGGCCTCCATTTCCTTATCCATGAAGTGGTGATCATAGCAGGCCTTGCCCCACAGTAAGGTGATGCATGTATGTATGTAAAGTGCTCAGCTGAGGGCCTGACCCAGGTGAACACCCTTGAATATTTGTAAGGAAACAAATGAAAGGCCCAGAGCCTCCAACATGGAGAGAAATTCAGGGAGATGGAGAGAGAGAGAGAGAGATGGGCTGCCCTTTCTGCCCAAGGTAAGGGGGATGCAGGTTAATGGCAGCTCACAGGGAGAGAGAATGAGGTATGGAACAGGGTAAGCACTCAATAAACAATGGGGAGAGAGTGGAAGAGATGCCCAGACACACAGAGAAGCACAGGAAATGAGAGAGGAAGGCAGTAAGTGAGTTAGACCCAGAGAAAGACCCAGAGAGAGATAAACCCAGAGAGCGAAAGTAACACACATATTGGGGGTTAGGGGGCTGGAGTCAGAGAAACTCAGAGAGACCAGAGTGAGAAAGAGAGGTCAAGATGTAAAAATAAAAAAAGTGGGGGGGGGGGGTACAACAGGGAGAGACAGAGAAAAGAGGTAGATGGAGATCAAGAGAGAAACCCAGAAAAAGCAGCAGAGTCGGGTTTCATTCTCCAGGGCCTGGACTAGAGCAGAAGTCCGTAATGTTTGTCAAACGACTATATGACCGTCAGTGGTGAGGAAGGCCTTGGCAGCTCCCAGCCGTGGATGAGGGAGGGAGGCAGGGGACCAAAGCTGGGCCTCTGCATCTCAAGTGACCTGTGTTTGCCTCCCTTCCCATCCTCCTGCAGGTGAACGGTGTGCTGACAGCATTGCCTGTTTCTGTAGCCGGTGGACAGCTTTCAGTGACCCAGGGCGCATCAAAAGCAGTGCTGACCACCAGCTTCGGGCTGCGGGTCAGCTATGACTGGGACTGGCGCGTGGAGGTCACGCTGCCCAGTAGCTATCATGGCGCGGTGTGTGGGCTGTGCGGGAACATGGATGGCAACTTCAGCAACGACCAAGCCTTCCCGAACGGCACACTGGCTCCCTCCATACCCATCTGGGGTGGCAGCTGGAGGGCCCCAGGCTGGGACCCACTGTGCTGGGACGAATGTCAAGGATCTTGCCCAACTTGCACCGAGGACCAAATGGAGGAGTATGGGGGCTCTGGCTTCTGTGGACCCCTGGCCCCTGGCACCGGAGGCCCCTTTGCCACCTGCCATGACCACGTGGCCCCCGATAGCTTCTTCAAGGGCTGCGTTCTGGATGTCTGCCTGGGCGGTGGGGCCCACGACATACTTTGCCAGGCTCTAGCCGCCTATGCTGCGGCCTGCCAGGCAGCTGGGGTTGTCATTGAGGACTGGAGGGCACAGGCCGGTTGTGGTAAGTGTTGGGGGAACAGAGCAGGAGCTAGGGCCCGGGGTCCTGCCTCTTCCAGGCTGGTTTGGGTTCACTCCAGTCCTTTTGGGTCTTTTTGTTTCTTTCTGTCTGTCTGTTTTTGTTGTTGTGTCTCAGTCTCTTGGCGCTCATATTGGCGTCTCCCTTTGTCTCTGTATGTTTCTCATTCTCTATCTCCCTGTCTCTGACCGAGTCTCTCTTTGTCTCTTGCTCTGTCTCTCTTGGTCTCTGTCTCCTTCTACCCTATCCTCAGACCCCACCCCCTGACACCATTCTCTCTCTTTCTCTCTCTCCCACCCCTTCATCCACCCACAGAGATCCCCTGCCCCGACAACAGCCACTACGAGCTCTGTGGCCCACCCTGCCCGGCCAGCTGCCCGTCTCCTGTGCCCCCCACAACCTCAGCCCCTTGTGAGGGCCCCTGCGCTGAGGGCTGCCAGTGTGACTCAGGCTTCGTATGGAGTGCCGACCACTGCGTCCCCCTGGATGGTGGCTGCGGCTGCTGGGCCAACGGCACCTACCACGAGCCAGGCAGCGAGTTTTGGTCTGATGCCACCTGCTCCCAACAGTGCCAGTGTGGGCCTGGGGGTGGCTCACTGGTCTGCAAGCCTGCCAGCTGCGGGCTAGGTGAAGAATGTGCCCTGCTGCCCTCAGGCCAGCACGGCTGCCACCCTGTCAGCACAACTGAGTGTCAGGCCTGGGGTGACCCTCATTACATCACCCTGGATGGGCACCGATTTGACTTCCAAGGCACCTGCGAGTACTTGCTGAGTGCACCCTGCAATGAACTACCCTTGGGGGTTGAGAACTTCACCGTCACTGTAGCCAATGAGCACCGGGGCAGCCAGGCCGTCAGTTACACCCGCACTGTCACCCTGCACATCTACGGCCACAGCTTCACCCTCAGTGCCGGCTGGCCCCGGCAGCTGCAGGTGAGGGGTCTATGGGTCAGACAAGAGCATGTGCCAGCCCCGGGGTTACCTGGGAAAGCTAGGGATCCGCCAAATACCCCGACCACTTTTCACAGGTTAGTGGGCCAGATGGAGGGGTTCTAGCTTTGGAGCTAGATGGCTTGGAGCAGTGTCTTTCCTATCTCTGAGCCTTTATTCCTCTGTAAAATGGGTCTAAGTGCCTGCTTCAGAGGGTAGTGTGAGGAGTCAGTGACACCGTGTCTATAGATGCTCATCATTATTACTACGACTATTATTATTACAAGGGGGGAGGTCACATGCTCAGGGTACCTGCCCCCTCCACCCCAGAAAGTGGGTCCAGGATTCAAACCTGTGCCCGTGATGTTCACTACGCTAACCCCAACTCCGCGCCCGCAGGTGGACGGCCAGCTGGTGGCGCTGCCCTTCCAGCTGGATTCGCGCCTGCACGCGCACCTGAGCGGAGCCGACGTGGTGGTGACCACCGCCGCCGGGATCTCGCTGGCTTTCGACGGAAACAGCAATGTGCGCCTTCACGTGCCAGCGGCATACGCGGGCACCCTCTGTGGCCTGTGTGGGAACTACAACCAGAACCCCAACGACGACCTGAACGCGGTGGACGGGAACCCTGGCGACTGGCAGGTGGGCGGCGCTGAGGGCTGCGGGGAGTGTGTGCCCGGACCTTGCCCGGAGCCCTGCACGCCGGAGCAGCAGGAGTCCTTCGGCGGCCCCGACGCCTGCGGCGTGATCTCAGCCACCGACAGCCCACTGGCGCCCTGCCACAGCCTCGTGCCGCCCGAGCAGTACTTCCAGGCCTGCTTGCTGGACGCCTGCCAGGCTCAGGGCCATCCGGGAGGCCTCTGCCCTGCCGTGGCCGCCTATGTGGCAGCCTGCCAGGCTGCTGGGGCCCAGCTCGGCGAGTGGAGGCGGCCTGACTTCTGTCGTGAGTACTGATCCTAAATGGGCCACATAGCAGGGGTCTCCACGCCTCTCCCCTTCACAAGGCTTTAAGATAAGAGCCTTTTCCTCCGGGGGGCTTAGGCACCATCCTGCTTCCCCAGAGCCCAGATATCTTCTGTCAAAGAAACACCTTTGCATTCACACATGGAAATACGCTAGGTCACATATTGTAATGGGGTGGCTCAGATACTCCTGGTCAGAATCCTTCAGTCCAGTTCACTCTCCGGGATTCATGAACTCAGATGAGTGTGGCTGACCCTCTCCAAACCGCACAGAGAGGTACACCTGGTCAAGTCAATTCTCTCAGCTACTCCTAGTCAGAGACCTGAAGAATTACACCTGGTCAGATGCCCCTAGACAGGGAAATACACAAGGTCAGATAGAATTGGTCTGATAATCTCAGACAAGGGTTCCTCTGGTTAGAGATACCTGGTTAGATTTACACTGAGATACACTTAGGCACTAGATAGTTACACTTACACCTAAGTAGAATCATGACCCTGACATAGCCCCCGGCAGATACATACAGATTCGTGGTCAGATCATGGGCAGTTCCCCTCAGGCCAATCTCCTGGTCACATTTATCCTGTCAGCTTCACCCAATCAGATTCGTGTGGTGAGAGTCACACGCTGACACAGACCCTGTCGGAGAGAGTCCCTCAGAGGCTTCAGGTCAGACAGGTGTACTTTGGTGGCATACAAGGTCCATCTGACCCCACAGCACAGCCAGATTCACAGACTGAGATACAGTTGGTTCTAATCTTGCATATCTCGGTCAGATACACATGGTTAAATTCACCCAGTCAGATTGACTTGATCTTCAGAAATACTTGATCAGGTTGATACACCACTTGGTCAGAGAGACTTGGCCCCCAGATCCCCACACTGAATCGCCCACCTAGACGTACGGGGTCAGACACAGATCCCTGGACAGATTCACTCATGAAATATGCTCAGATTCACCTGGACAGGTTCTCCCACTCTGTGCCTCCCCGGGTCCTCCTCCCTCCCATCTGCCCGGCTCACTCCTCTCTTGTCCCCACAGCCCTCCAGTGCCCCGCCAACAGCCACTACAAGCTCTGCGGTGACTCCTGCCCTGTGAGCTGCCCCAGCCTCTCGGCGCCCGAGGGCTGTGAGCCCACCTGCCGTGAGGGCTGTGTCTGTGATGCCGGCTTCGTGCTCAGTGGAGACACCTGCGTGCCTGTGGGCCAGTGTGGCTGCCTCCACGAGGGCCGCTACTACCCGCTGGGTGAAGCCTTCTACCCAGGTCCTGAGTGTGAGCAGCGCTGTGAGTGTGGGCCCGGTGGCCGGGTCACCTGCCAGGAGGGCAAGGCCTGCGGGCCCTATGAGGAGTGCCGGTTACAGGACGGCGTCCAGGCCTGTTACCCTACAGGCTGTGGCCGCTGCCTGGCCAGCGGGGGCATCCACTACGTGACCCTTGATGGACGTGTCTATGACCTGCATGGCTCCTGCTCCTATATCTTGGCCCAGGTCTGCCACCCACAGCCTGAGGATGAGGACTTTACCATCGTGCTTGAGAAGAACGCATCAGGAGAGCCCCAACGTCTGGTGGTCACTGTGGCTGGTCAGGTTGTGGGCCTGGCTCAGGGACCAAACGTAAGTGACATGGCCTTGCTCTGGGAGGCTGAAAGCACCATGACCCCACCCTGGGAGCTCTGAGGGGGACAGGGCCCACCCTAGGGGTTTTTAGAGAGGTGTGACCCCACCCCAAGGGGACTAATTGAGACACTGCCCTGCCCTGGGGGCTGCGGCAGGGACACAACCCTGCCCTAGGAAGTCTGTGGGGGACATGGCTCACCCTAGGGGTCTGAGGGGCCTGCCCTACCTGTGGTTCTGAGTCCCTGACCTATCTGGCCCTTCCATCCAGGTCACTGTGGATGGCGAGGCCGTAGCCCTGCCTGTGGCTGTGGGTCATGTGCGGGTGACTGCCGAGGGCCGGCACATGATTCTACAGACAACCAAGGACCTGCGGCTTCTCTTTGATGGCGATGCCCACATCCTCATATCCATCCCTAGCCCTTTCCATGGCCGGCTCTGTGGCCTCTGTGGGAACTTCAATGGCAACTGGAGTGACGATTTTGTCCTGCCCACTGGTGTCGTGGCCTCCAGCGTGGATGCCTTTGGAACAGCGTGGCGGGCGCCCGGCTCCTCTGAGGGCTGTGACGAGGGCTGTGGGTCCCAAGGCTGCCCTGTGTGCTCGGCAGAGGAGACAGCCCCATACGAGAGCCTCGAAGCCTGCGGGGAGCTCCGGGACCCTAACGGCCCCTTCTCAGCCTGCCATGCAGTGGTGAGCCCCTCGGAGTACTTCCGCCAATGCGTGTACGACCTCTGTGCCCAGAAGGGCAGCATTGCCGTCCTCTGCCGCAGCCTAGCAGACTACATGGCAGCCTGCCAGGCAGCTGGTGTGACCATGAAGGCCTGGAGGACGGATAGCTTCTGCCGTGAGTGTCCATGGGCCCTAGGGAAGACTTCCACCCAAGCTTGGGGGCGCCCCCTATCCTGCTCCCTGTCCTGTCTGCATCTCAGGAGCAGCCCCCAGCTCCTCCCACCACACACCTTGCTGGCTTCCCTCCTGCCTGCCGACTGACCCTTCTCAGACTCCTTTCAGGGGCCTGCTCTCCTGAGACCTCAGACAGAGTTCTTCTCAGGGCCCATCTTGGACCCTTTCTGTGGGGACCTGGGAGGGCAGGTCGGGCAGGCCAGAAGCTCACATAATAAAGCCTGAGTCTGTGCCTCACCCAGACCCCCCAGGATGGGACCATATCCTCAGACTCTTCCAGACAAGGCTGCAGCTCCCTCAGACCCCCAAGACTCTACCTGTTAGATACTCCCAGTCAGAGATTTTTTGTTCCCTTCATACCCCCAGGGCAGGGCCAGGTCTCCTTCACTCTCCTCAGGACAGGACCTAGGTCCAGGCCCATCATCCACCCCCATAGCCTTGATTTTGTCATCAGTGCTGACAGTGGATGCTGTCTATCTCCAGCTCTGACCTCTGTCCTGCCTGCCAGCCTCAGGGGTAGAGGGGCCTCCTGGATACTTTCCCCTCGGCGTCCCTAGGGTCCCTCACACCTCCTGTGTTCCCATATGACATCAGCATCTCATCTCAAACCTGATCCTCCTATTCCCTTACCCTGGTCTTCATCTCAAGGTAGCTGCACCATCCACCAGTTGCTCAGCGGAAGCTCACCCTGGATGCTTCCCCTGGGCCTTACAGCTCCCATCCTGGCCCTGACCCCTCTGCCTCTGCTTCCCCAGTCCTGGCCCTCAGCTTCTGTCTGTATTTCCCCAGTGTAGCCCTGAGCACACTGGGCTATTACTATCTGTCCCACTGATATGAGCTCACAGTGTAGGGCCTTGAGCTATCTTCATTGCTTGTGTCCCCAGCACCACTAGCCCAGAGCTGGGTGTCCAGTACCCCTGTTCATTATTCGGTGTTCAGGTGCAGGCATGACCCCACCCTGCCTCTTCTCTCCACAGCGCTCCAGTGCCCTGCTCACAGCCACTACTCCACCTGCACGCGCTCCTGCCAGGGCTCCTGTGCAGCTCTCTCTGGCCTCACGGGCTGCACCACTCGCTGCTTTGAAGGCTGCGAGTGTGATGATCGCTACCTACTGTCCCAGGGTATCTGCATCCCTGTCCAAGACTGCGGCTGCACGCATGACGGCCGGTACTTGCCGGTGAGCAGGAACTTAAGGTGGGCAGGGCGGGTGGAGGAGCCTGAGGGAGACTCAGAGTTTCTGTGCTGACCCCCTCAAGGTTGGGGGCAGAGAAGCCACCATCCTTTCCCTGCTGTGTGACTCAGTGCTGGTAACGTCCCTATATTAGTTTCCTGTGACTGCTGTGGCAAATGACAGCAATTTAGTGGCTTAAAACAAGAGAAATTTATTTTCCCACAGTTCTGGAGGCCAGAAGTCAGAAATCAGTATGACTGGGCTGGGTTGGCTGGGCGGCACTCCCTCCAGAGGCTCTAGGGGAGGATCTGTTCCCTGCCTCTCCCAGCTTTTGGTGGCTGCAGGAGCTCCTTGGCTTGTGGCCATGTCCCTCCAATTTCTGTTGCAGTGTCACATTCCCCCTCCTCTTCTGTGTGTGTTGTAAAATCTCCCTCTGCCTCCTTCTTATAAGGATATACAAGATTGTATTAAGGCCCACTCAGGATAATCTCTCCATCTCAAGATCCTTCATCAAATCTGCAAACACCCTTTTTCCAGATAAGATAACATTGACTGGTTCTAGGCATTAGGGTCTGATATCTTTTGGGGGCCCTTATAGGGCCTGCTACAGCCCCCCTCCCTAAGCCTCATTTGTTCATCTGTAAAATGGGGTTGATCATCATCCGTGCACCATAGGTGTCTGAGGATTGGCTGTGATTGTATATGCTAGGCACCCACTGAGCACTGGGCCTCACCCTCCATGCTCATCACAGTAAAAATAAGAGTAATTTTCAGCAGCACAGTAGGTAGCACAGCTATCAATCTTTTAATGAAGGGAACTGAAAGTTAATAGTTGATTTATTTTTGTGATTGATATTTTTTTGAGCTCTTACTATGCACCCAGTTTGTTACAGATGTTAAGTCATTTAATAGTCACAATAGTTCTATGAGACAGGCACTATTGTTATTTTTCCTGTTTTATGGATGAGGAAATTGTGACAAAGGGAAGTCAGCCCAAGGTTACCGTTAGCAAGTGGGGAGTCTGGGACTCATGCCCCAGCAGCCTGGGCTCACCATCCGAACTACTAGGCTGTCCTACTTCTTCAAAAGCATATTTGTCAAATAAAGGAAAGACAGATTACCACACCCTATCCCCATTCATCCCAGTTTCATTAATAGCAGAAAGGTAGGCTAGAGGGTCTGGAAGTACAGGACTTCTGGGGAAGGAGATGCCAAGCTTCTACTCCTCTCTTAAGGTCTCGCCACCTACAGGAAGCCCTCCCTGATCCCCTAGGCCGAGTTAGGCACCTCCTCTGGACTCCACAGACCCCTGTGTTTCCCCATCCCAGCCTTGACCACTCTGCCTGTGCTAGATTTCTCAGATTTGTGGATTTGGCATTCAGAGGAGAGGTCTGGGCTGGAGGCACAAATGTGGGAGTCATCAGTATAGAGATGGTCATTATTTTTTTAAATTATTTTTTAATTAAATGTATTCACCTCGTTTAAAGTTCTCAAACTTTTAAAGAATTCAAACTTAAAAAAAATTGCAGACTACTCAGCCATAAAAACCGACAACATAACGCCATTTGCAGCAACATGGATGCTCCTAGAGAATGTCATTCTAAGTGAAGTAAGCCAGAAAGAGAAAGACAAATACCATATGAGATCGCTCATATGTGGAATCTAAAGACTCATGGACAGAGAATACAGACTTGTGGTTACCAGGAGGGTAGAGGGTGGGAAGGGATAGACTGGGATTTCAAAATTGTAGAATAGATAAACAAGATTACACTGTATAGCACAGGGAAATATACACAAAATGTTATGATAAATCACAGAGGAAAAAAATGTGACAATGAGTGTATATATGTCCATGAATGACTGAAAAATTGTGCTGAACACTGGAATTTGACACAACATTGTAAAATGATTATAAATCAATAAAAAATGGTAAAAAAAAATTGCAGGAATAGTACAAAGAACTGCATATCCTTCCCTCAGGTTCTTTGACTTTTTGCCAAGTGCTTTATCATCCTTTCTCTCTCTACATGCACGCACTATTTTTTTAGGACTATTTGACAGTGTGATGCAAACATAGTGCCCCTTTACCCCTAAATACTTTAGCATGGGTTTCTTAAGAGTAAGGAAACACATTTGATATGACCACAGTACAATTCAAAGTCAAGAAATTAACGCTGATTCGATACTGTTATCTAATCTAAAGATTTTATTCGAATTTCACCAATTGTCCCAGTAATGGTCTGTAAGACAATTACCCACGCCCCATCCCCACCCCAGGCCGGGGTTCAGTTGAAGATCAGATACTGCTTTTAGTTTTATGGGATTTGGTGACATCACCAGGTAGTAAGTGTAGTTTAGAGAAGGAACAGGTCTGAGGACTGAGCCCTGGGCAGGATAGTGTTCAGGATTTGGGAGATAAAGAGGAACTTAAAAGTGCAGTGAAGAAAGAACAGCCCATCAGGCAGGAGAAAACCAGGAAGAAGTCCCTTTCCTGGAATTGGGTTTCAGGAGCCCCGTGTTCTGGGCTGTGGGTACCAGGGCTCTGGGATGTCTCCAGTGCCCACTCCTACCCATATCAGTTAGCTTTTGCAGGGCTACAAACTTCCCCCAAGACATAGTCGCTTAAAACAACTGTTTGTGTAGTTCACAATCCTGCAGCTCTGCAGTTGGGGCTGAGCTCTGCAGTTGGGGCTGGGCTCTGCTGGGCTCTGCTGGGCAGTTCTTCTGCCGTCCCCTGGACTGGCTCTTACATCTGTAGTCCCCCGGTTGGATTAGCTGAGGTCTGGCTGTCTCTCTTCCATGGGTCTCTCATCTTTAGGCAGGCCAGGGGCTGAGCAGTGTTCCGAGAAAGAGAGGGTAAAGCTGTAAGGTCTGTTGAGTTACTGGCTTGAACTCGGCACAGCGTTGCTTCTGCTGCATTGTTGTGACTAAGACACAGTCTTAAGGCCAGCCAAAATTCGTGGAGAAGGGGAAATAAACTCCATTTCTTAATGGGAGTTGCTGCAAAGTCACTCTGCATGGATCCAGAAGGTTGAAGGGTTGTGGCCGTTTTTGCAAATCCACCACACCGCCATAACGTAGCCCCTTTCTGTGCACAGGTCAACTCCTCCCTGATGACCTCCGACTGCAGCGAGCGCTGCTCCTGTTCCTCAAGCACCGGCCTGACGTGCCAGGCAGCCAGCTGCCCAACAGGCCATGTGTGCAAGGTCCAGGCTGGGGTCCGGGACTGCTGGGTCTCCGACAGTCTCTGTTCCCTCTCTGTGGATGGCAACCTCACCACTTTCAACGGGGCCCGCACTGCCGTCAGCTCCCCGGGCATCTATGAGCTCTCTTTCCGCTGCTCAGGACTACAGGAGACCATCCCTTGGTACCGTGTGATCGCTAACGTCTGGCCCTGCGATGACAAAGCTGAAGCTGTGGGCCTTGTTCACATCTTCTTCCGGGATGGGCTGGTGACTGTGACCCGGAACAACAGCGTATGGGTAAGCCTGGGCCCAGGGTGAGTGTCTCCTCTGGGCTCTGTTCTTCCTGTTGCAGTGTCCTTACATTCCTGGCTGCCCATCTGTCTTACTACCTGTTTTTCTTACCCAGATCTCTGCAGTTTGTTTCTCTGGATTTATATTTGTCTCAGCACTTCAAACTTAGTCCCTCTGTTCTGGCTGAATTCTTGAGGAGTGAAAACACATTTAAGTAACTTATTAGTTTTTATATTAATGTTAATGAAGAGTCTATTGGTTGCAAGTGACAGGAAACCAAATTCAGAGTTCCTTGAGCAAAAATGAATGTATTGGCCCACATAACTAGAAAATCCAGGGATAGAGCCTCAGGAGTGGCTGGATCCAGGTGCCCCGGCAGTGTTATCTGGATTTGTACCTCTATTTTTCAGACTTGCTGTTCACCAGATCAGCTTCATTCTCTGTGACTCCTCGCAACAAGACAGGGATTATTATTATTATCCCTATTTTGCACAGAGGGGAAACTAGGGCCCACCCCCAAAAAAGTCATTTATTCAAGTCACTCAGAGAGTGCCTGGGAGATCCAGATTTTGAACCCACCAGCACCATGCTCTGAACCACTTTGATGGGAATGGGATGCTGGTGGTAACTGTGAGGATACATGGGACCAAGACGGATTCCAAGTGACATGCCCAGTGGGGACGTCCTCTGGACTCTGTCCACTCCAGGCCACTGAACCTTTCCCTCAACTGTCCTTCAGCTTGATCTTAGGGCCCCCTTAGGCCTGTCACTGTCTCGTAAGTCCATTCCAGCCCCAGTGGGCCCTCTCTTCTGCCTCTTGACTTCCACTCGCTTACAAACGTCTTGCATTTGCCAAACCCCATGTTTCTCAGCACCCCAATCCCAAATTTCTGAGAGAGAGAATCTGCTTGGCCTAACTGAGGGCTGATGCCAGCTCATCGTCTAATCAGCCGTGGCCTATGTAACAGAGCCTAGGACCCAAACACAGATGGCAGGCTGCTCTAAAGTTCCCATGTCTCTGTTCCATGGCCTGTTCATTGATTGCAGGGACATCCACTGGTGTCTTCTGGGTCCAGTGGAGAGATACAGCCAGTGCTCCACACATTCCTCATCCAGTGGATGGTCTATATCCCTTCACCAATGCCTGGAGATGGTCCAAGACTCAGCTTCATGTGGTCCCTGGAAGCAGGGAAGCTGGGAAGCTTGAGTCCTCTCTTCAGTGTAATCTGGACTGGTCACTCCTTTTCTCTGGCCCTCTGCTTGATTCATAATTCAGGTGAACAGACCCCTACTCCTGCCTCCTCTTGCTCCTCTATCAAGAAACAGTTCTCTACACAGCAGATAGATGTTCTAGAAATGTGAGTCAGATCAGGTCATTCTGCTGCTTAAAATTCTTCAGTGGCTTCCCAAAAGAGCATTCTAAACTTAAGCTACCTCTCTTCCAGGGCCTGCAAGGCCTTGTATGATATGACTTCTGCTGGCCTCTCCAACCTCATTTTCTACAATTCCTTCCCTCATTGGCTCTGCTTATAATAGGCCAAACTGGCCTTGATACTATTCATACAGCCAACCAAGCTTGTTCCAACCCCAGAGCCTTTGCATTTGCTGTTCCCACTATCGCAATGCTTTCCTCCCAGATTTTCCAAGAATGGGTTCCTTTTCATCCTTCAGATCTCAGTTCTGGCATTGCTTCTACAGAGAGGCCTTTCTCAACTACCTACAGATACCCTCCCTCTCTATCCCAGTCTCAATGCTGTTACTGTCTTTTATTTCCTTCAAGGCACTTATCACTCTCTGAAGTTATCCATTAATTTCTTTGTTTGTGTTGGTCGTCTTTCTCCATTACTAGAATATAATCCTCAGGTGGGCAGGGATCCTGTTTATCTTGGTCATCACTTTGTCAGCCAGTACCCAGATCAGTGCCTGGCACTAGAGGGTACGCAGGAGAAGTTTGGTTTGGCGAATACATTCAGCCCTGTTCCCTCTGCACCAGGCCATGTGCTGGGTAACACAGATAACATAGAGCCAGTTCTTATCCTTTAGAGACTGATGAAACTTTCCATCCACCTCTCCAACTATCCTTCACTGCATCCATCCATCCTTCTTCTCTCCCTCCTTCTAGCCATCTGTTCTTCCACCTCTTCCTTTTTTTCCTTCTTTGTCTCTCTCCCTCTCTCCTTTCCTCCATCTTTCCATCTATCCATGCATCCATCTCTTCAGATCTATCTACCTGTCTTTCCTGTCTACCAATCTCTCCAATCTGTGGCAGAGGAAGAGTCATATACAAGAGCATTTAGAAAAAAATTTTACTTTGAAAAAAGTAAGCTCGCTAGGGCTTCTGACTTTACAAGGATTAACTCATCAATGAGAACAGACAACAGTTATTTAAAGGAAAAAAATTCACAAGGTTACTGAGTCCACAGCCTATACTAGAGAAACAGTCATTTTCTCACATGATTATTGTACTTGCTGGATCATGACTTGTCTTCAGACATCAGCATTGAAAAAATAAGGGATGAAGTTGCCCTGTTAGGGAACCAGTAACTTACAGGACACGCTCAAGGTTTCTTTTATTTTGAAAACTAGACTCAGACAGGATGATGCTGGGGTTTGATTGTTTATCTGTCTGGTACAAGTGCTTCCCTGCCTCCACCCCTGGCTGCCCTTGGAATGTTGTGTGCACACCTGATTATCCATTGATCCATCTCTCCATCCGTCCATCTCTGTCATTCTGTCTATCTGCCCAAATTGCCAACTATCTTTTAAGTATTCATCTTTCCATAAAGGACATCAATCCAGGTCTTCATCTCTTTCAGCTTCTGCTTCTGCTTTTGCTCCTTGAGTTTGTTGTCTTGCTGGGGGTCTCCATCCAGATAACAGCTCTTCTGTGGTCCCAGCCTCACCTCTGTTCTACCCACCCCCTAACCCCACCAACCACCAGGTGAATGGTCTCCCCGTGGATCTCCCAGCTGAGGTGTTAACATCTGTGTCCATGAGTCAGAATCCTGATGGCTCCGTGCTAGTCCAGCAGAAGGCAGGGGTTCAGGTGCTGCTTGGCACCAATGGGCAGCTGGCTGTGGCCGTCAGCGATGACCACGCTGGGATGCTGTGTGGGGCCTGCGGAAACTTAGACGTGGCCGGGACCGATGATGAGCATAACTCCAAGGGGGAGACAACACTGGAGAACTGGAGAGCACAGGACTTCTCCCCCTGGTGAGGGAATGTAGCTTGGAAGCCAGGCTACATGGGGCAGGGGCACCTGGGCCCTCATGGGAAGGGGGCAGTCAGGGTGGGTGCTCAGTCTACACGAAGAAGTGCTAAGTGTGTGTCTCTTGCAGTCACAACTGATCAATCATCTACTGGGAATGAGGACGTCAGAACCTGAACCCCCTGGTGATTGCAGTAATCGAAGGGTGCACTGTGTCACTTTGTGACTGTGTGCCCCTACCCCACTCTACCCCTTTGATGAGCCACTGAGGCCAACTGTGAAAGCATTGAATAAATATCTTAAGCTAAACTGCATACCAACGCATCTAATTTATGCCTCTCATCCCTGACTTCCCGTCCTGAACAGCAGGTGTCAGATGCCTGAGGAATCTGGTACATGATGAATATTTATTAGGGGGTGAGAGAATGGATGGATGGATGGATGGATGGATGGATGGATGGATGGAGATAGATGGGTGGATTGGGAGGGGATGGGTAGGGAAATGAGAAAATGGGGAAATGGATGATTAGAAGTATAGATGGCTGAGAAGATGAACAATTGGATGGAGGGAAGAAGTAGAAAATGAAAAGAGAGATCAATAGATTCTGGCTTTATCATTTATAACCCTGGCAAGTTAATTTCTCTGTCACTCAGTTTCCCCATATGTTTTAGTCCACCTGGGTTGCTGTAACAAAATACCATAGAATGAGTGCTTTAGAAACAACAGAAATTCAATTTTCTCACAGCTCTGGAGGCCAGAAAGTCCAAGATCAAGACACTGGCAGATTCGATGTCTGGTGAGAGCCTATTTCCTGCAAGGCCAAGGGAGTTCTCTGGGCCTCTTTCATAAAGATACTAATCTCTTTATGAAGGCCCCACCCTCATGACCAATCACCTCCCAGAGGTCCCACCTCCAGATATCATCACATTGGAGATCAGGTTCCAACACATGAATTTTGAGGGGACACAAACACTCAGTCAATAGCATCATATTTAAAGTAGAGCTAAGGGTAGTACCTACCTCACAGAGCTGGAGCGAGGACTTCATGTGTTCACCCAATCTGCAAGTCAAAAGTGGAAGTCTCTCTTCCCTTCCAAACCTGTCTCCTGCCCTGCCTATAATGGTCTTCCCACCTGGGTTAATAGCACTACCAGTCCTCAGTCTAGCAGCCAGAAAATGGGGAATTATTCTTGACTCTTTCCTCCCCTTTGCCCTCCACTCCATTCATCACAAATCCTTTTGGATGGTATCCAAACCTACCTGAAATCTGCCTGCCTTTCTTATTATGCCCCGTGTCACCACCTGGTTCACCCCTCGTCCTCACTGGTAGCAACCAATAGCCTACTATCTGCTCTTCCCCTCCTGTAATCCATCCTCCCAGCCGCTAGATGGCTCTTCTTAACATACACACAGGACCATTGGCTCTACGTTTCTCTTGGAATAAAATCTGTATCTGATTCAGTCACCACTATTCCCAGCACCTAGCACATAGTAAGTGCCCAATACATGTCTGTTGAATGAATAAATGGCCAACCACAACCTTGGAGGAAAGATTTGCATCATACCTAATAAAGGATTACTATCCACAACATACAAAGAGTGCCTTCAAATCAGTAAGAAAAAGACAGCAGCCCAATTAGAAAAAGTGTGTTGAGGATATAAACAGGCAGTTGACAGAAATCTAAAGATATTGAATGCATTCAGTAGGTCAGGTTTCTCATGTTCAGTATTTCTGAGCTTCACAACAACCCTGCAAAATGAGTATAGATATAAAGAAATAGTCTTAGTGAGGTTAAATAACTTGCCCAAAGGCAAACAGTTTATAATGATGGAGCCTAGATTTGAATGCAGATGTATCACCCAAACCAGTTATTTCCACTGAATCTTGCTGTTGAGTCTCACCTAGGCTCAATTGCCTTACAAGAAAAAGAACTGAGACATCCTTAAGACAGAGAAAAAAAAATCCAATAGGAAAATAAAAGATCTAAATGGCTGGTAGAAAAAGAAATACAAATAGCCCTTAAGGATGAGAAATTCTCACTTCTTCCCATATTAAGAGAAATGCAGCTTAAACTACCCCGAGACATCACTTCTCAACTATCAGGCAAAAATACAAAAACTTGACAATATAATTTATTGACAAGGCTAGGAGGAAGAGAATTCTTTCATATGTCACCAGTGGGGATGCAAAATGTATAAGTCCAATGAAGGGAAATTTGGCAATATATGGCAAACTTACAGATGCATTTTTCTTTCGATCCAACTATTTCACTACGAGAAATCTAGCCCAAAGATACAATGCAATGAAAGTATGTAAGCCCAAGGCGGTTCATTGAAGTGCTCTTGATAATGGAAAAAAGACTGAAACCATTCAGATGTCCGTCAGTAGGGGACTTGTTGAATAAACTTGGTTCATCTACATGATGGGCCACAATGTAGATGAGTGAAAAATAAAAATGATTTCTATACATTGTTTTGGAGTGATCTCCAGGGTGTATCATGATGGGGGACATGGAGATAAGCCTTCAGTGCCTCCCCCATCCCAGCTGTGACCATTCTGCCTATACCTCCCCCAATTCTCACCCTGACCCCTCTGGGCTACCACTGTCTGGGAACCAGTCTGTCTCCCCCACTGGACTGGCAGCTCCAGGAGGGCTGGACTCTTACAGTCACCATTGTGCCCCCACACAAGATCTGCAGGCACCCCCTAATTACCCACTGGTAGTGCAAATTTCAGGTCTGCACTGTACTCTTAAGTATTTTCATCCTTAGATAAAAATTATTTTTAATTGGAAGGCAAATAGTAAAATCCATGTAGTGGGCAACATTATCCTGAATTGGAGCCATTTGAGTTATTACAAAGCTCCTGGAAATCCAGCATAAATTCAGCAGATTTTCCATCCTGATATTTAAGCAAATTTTCAGGAATGTTTCTGTGCAGCTGGAACACCCTGCACGGAGAATTCAAGACAGCGTAGGTTCCTTCATTCATTCAACAAACATTTACTGAGCACCCACTCTGTGCCAGGCCCTGTTCTGGGTATGTAGTGATACAGCAATGAGCAGAACGGAACAGACCGGTGGATTCTCCTGGAGGTTGTTAGTAGCTTCTCATAGTAATACTTGTTTCCTTGAATGAATATGGGGATGAATATTCAAATGATAAAATTACGAAGTACAAAATTCTCAATACTTACGCAGAATCTGCTCACTCCTCACCACTTCCTCTGCCTGAATCCTGATCCATCGCTGCAGGCCCCTCCTTGGTCTTCCTGCCCCTACCCCAACTCCCTCACTCTGTTTCCCACATGCAGCCAGAGTGACTGCATGTCAGATATCTCTTCTCTGTTCAGGACCCTCCATCTCACTCAGAGTAAATGCCAAAGCTCTCACCCGTAGGCCCCACAGAATTTGCCTTGTTAACCTCCCTGCCCTCATCTCCTCCTACTCTCCCCTGCTCCCTCTACCCCCAACCTCACACCTCACTGCTTCTGCAACCCTCCTTACCTTCCCTGCCTCAGGGCCTTTGCACCTGCAATCCTGGCTGCCTGGAACTCTCTTCCCTCAAATGGGAGCATGCCTCACTCCTCACCTCCTTTAGCTCTTTGCTCCAAAATCACTGGATGTGGGGGAGGTTATAGCTCAGTGGTAGGCTGCGTGTTTAGCATTCACAAGGTCCGGGATTCAATCCCCAGTACTTCCATTAAAATAAATAAATAAACAAACCTAATTACCTCCCCCCAAAAAGAAAAAAAATTAAAAGTCACTGGATGCGTTCCATGACCATCCCATAGGAAACGCCCCCCCACACACACACCAGTCCTTATCCCCCTTCCCTAATGTTATTTTCTCCAAAGCACTTATTGCCTATCATTCGACATGGTTTTACTAACTTGTTTGGTGTCTGTTTCTCCCACTAGAAGATGAGTTCCAGAGGGGTAGGGATTTGTCTGTCTTGTTTCCTGCTGTATTCCCTGCGCCTGGAACAGTGCCTAGTACATTCAGGCACACAATAAATGTTTTTCGAATGTATGATTAGGAATCCAGAGTTGGCCCTTGTTCTTGAGGGTGGAAATGGATTAGGGAAGGCTTTTGGGTGTAGAGGGAACTTTAGGGAGTTAACAAGGAATGGACAAAAGGAGCAGAGGGTACAGTCCGTGCTAAAGTCTGAGGATGAGCCCTGATTGCTGGAGTGCTCGCACCGATTAAGGGGAAGTGGGAAGAGCGTTTAGGGTAGGGTTCGCTGCACAGGTAAAGACAGTGCCATGGGCCGCCCAGGGGGCGGTGCCCTGAGAGGTTCGGGAATCCTCGCCCACAGCGCGCGCACCAGGCTCCGGGCGGGGCTGCGGCTCCGAGGGGTGGGGCTGCGGCTCCGAGGGGTGGGGCTGCGTAGTGGCGTATTGAACCGTACGTCGCCGCGCGCATGCGCTCTTTTCCACGTGCGTAAGCCCGGGACGCGTGGAGCGGAGGAAGCCTCCGATTTCCTGAGCCGTGCAGCTCCGCGCTTGCTATGAAGCCAGGTGCAGGCCTGGGTTGGGGTCGGGGGTCAGGGGACTTGGTCCTGGCGGGGATCCGGGTGCCAGGCCAGAATGGAGGGGCGGAGTCTTGGTCTGAGGGCAGAGGTTCCAGTCTCTTGTGGGGAGGGGGTCTCGGTTCCGGTCTCTTGTTGGGGTGGAGGGGCTTGGTTCCGCTCTGTGATCGAACCTGAGCCCAGGGTTCGGGTTCCTGGTTTGAAGGTTTGTGACTGACTTTTCGGAGGTCACGGTCGTGAATCGAGTGTTTGGCGTGGGATTGGGGGTGTGGGTACAGGGGTACTGAACTGGGGCCGAGGTGACACTGAGGCCGTCATTGAGGTCTTGGGTATTGGGCTGGGGTGGCAGACGAGGATCCACATCTGGGGTCTTAGATCTCTGGGCATGGTATTCGGGGATTTGTCCTGGTTCCGAGGCGGAGAGTCGCTGATCTTGGGTCCAGTAGGTGAGTCTGGGAGGACCCTGAATGCTCCCCTGTCACCGCCGCTACTGCAGTACCCTTGGCCCCAAACCCAGCCTCTTGGAGAGGGCCGGCATGGATGAGTACTCCCGGCTTGATAGTGTGTGGCCCTCTCTGGCCCACTTTCCCGCTCTCTACTCTCCCGAGAGGGGCGGGTCCTGAGAATGGAGTGGAGATCCTGCGCCTAGTGATGGTCAACTCGCAGTGATAGGTGAGAATGCATTTCTCAAGTCCGGTATAGGATTATTGTGGGGTGGGGGAGGGAGATAGTCACAGGGTAGGAGTGGTTTTATTCATTCAGATTTTACTCGAGATTCTGATGAACCCACCCCACCTCACTCGTGATAGAATGATGAGAGTTCTGTCTTTGACAGCCGACAGTTCAAAGTTTGGATCCTAACTCTGTTTAACTTACTGTGTGACCTTGGGCAAGTGGCTTTACCTCTCTAAGCCTCAGTTATCTCATCAGTAAAATAGCGCCCAGTTGTAATTTAGTGAGATCATGTTAGGAAAAAAAATAGCACGTGGTGGTAATCTTTTTGCAATATATGATGTGTGTCATGTCAACAGGTTGTACACCTTAAACTTACACACTGTTATGTCAGTTACGTCGCATTCGGCACAGTGTTTAACATACAGTATTGGCTCTAATTGTTGTCTTTCTTCTCAAGGGGAACAAAATAAATGTCCTTCTCCCTGGCGTCTCAGCTCTTCCTAAATCAGGCCTCGCTCCTCCTGCCAACTTGCTCCGCTGGAGTTGGGGAAATCTTTCACCATGACCAAAAGGCTCTGTTTCCTAATGCAGATTTTCTTTTTCCTTCCTCTTTTTTCCCCCCCTCGGCCTTTGGAGAGATGGGGTTCTCCGGGGGCAGGGGAGGAGGGGATTAGTGGATAGGTGCCCTCTTCCCAAGTTCCCTTTCTCTTCAGTGTTTGGGGATCAGCTGGTGAAGTGGAGTGGGAAGTACCAAGCAGTGTGTCTCCCACCGAGACCCTGGCAGGCCCGCAGGCATCCTGTAGTCTGATCGGCCCAGGAATGGGGGATGCACCTTCCTCCCAGCCCCTCCCTCACTGAGTTAGTACATGAAGCTGGAGGAGTTGTCAGAGGCAGCTCTTCAGCAAAGATTTTGGTCAGAATGGACTGATAGGTTTAAAAAGGATCCTCCTTGTTTCTATGTGTAGAAGACTCAAGGGGAACGGGAGTGGAAGCAGACACATCAGTGGGCAGCTTGTTGTAATCTGCTGGGAAGCGATGCAGCCTGGACCAGGGTGGTGGCAGTGTGCCTGGCTGACGCACTGCTGCAGTTGGGGGATATCTTTTGAAGGTGTGGGCAACAGCTCGTATGTGGATGTGAGAGGAGGCGCCAAGGAGAACTAAGGGTTTTGGCCCATGTAACTGGGAGCAGGGAGTTGCCATTTCTGAGATGAGGAAGGCTTTGGGAAGAAAGCAGTTTAAATCTGGGGGTCTGTGGACTCTCCACCCACAGCTTCTAGAAACATATGTGAATGTGTGTTTTTCTGAGAGGTGGGTACTCTCAGTGCATTTTTCTAAGAGCCCCAGGACCTGAAATGTTAAGATGTTTTGAGTATCTGAGATGGAGAGCTTACCCTCCAGCCTCCAGCGCCCCAGGTGGTGCCTGCACTTTCCGGGTCTCTGGTCCATCAGGCCTGGGTCGACGGTCTCTTGGACCCTAGTAGTTTCTCCCTTAAGTAGGAAGGAGAAGGGACTTCTTCCTTTGAGTTTAAATAGTATATTCAAACTGCGTGCCAGGCAGTGTGTTAAGCGAAGTGCTTTGTGTGTATTAAGTCATTTAATCTTTACAACTCTATGAGGTGGACACCCTGTGATTTCCATACCTCCATCTCACAGATGAACTTTTCAAGACTCCAACCAACCTTCCCTCCTCTCTGGGGTCATGAAAGGCGTGGCCATCTGCCTGTATTTGATATGGGAGCTGCTTGAGGGGAGGGACCAGGGCTCTGGTCACCATCCAATCACCTTCTTCCTGAATGAACAGAGAGGGTGCTTCCTTCATGAGGCACAATCCAGGGATTTAAGAGTCATCAGCAGACAGCTCATTTAATATTCATTGAGCCCATACTTTGTACCAGATGCTGTGCAGGATGCTGGGGATGCAGTGATGACCAGAACACACATCCTGGAGCATGGTTCTGGTCCGGGAGGCAGGCAGGAATAATTTTTTAAATGCCACGTGTGATAATTGATAGGAAGAAAAAGAAAGCAGGGTAAAGGGCAGGTAGCCAGAGAAGGCCCTTTTAGGGAAGGAGCATTTGATAAGAGACCTGAGTGCAGTGGAGTCAGTGAGTCAAGGAAACGTCATCAGGACCCAGGCAGGAGGACAGTAGATGTTCAGGGTTTAGAAGTTGGAGAGTGAGTTTGACCTTGGGGGAGGCGACCGGGGGGCCCAGCATAGAGTGAGGTCAGAAAAGCCAGCAAAAGCTGAGCCCAAATGGTTGTCAGTTTGGGCTGCTCATTAGAGTCACCTGGTGACTTTTACAAAGACCCATGCCCCCACCCCAGACAATTACATCAGAGTCTCTAGGTAACAAATGGGGGAAGGGTGAGAACCACTGATTTAGTCTTTGGAAGTCAGAGAAGGGAGTTTTGATTTCATTTAGAATGTGGTGGAAGACCATCAAAGCGATTTGGGCAGGGGAGTGATGAGGTCTGGTTGGTCTTTTTTTTTTTTAACTTTATTTCTACAGTATGGGTTTTTTGTTTTTAATTGATGTATAGTCAGTTTACAATGTTATGTTAATTTCTGGTGTACAGCATTATGTTTCTGTCACACATATACATGCATATATTCCTTTTAATATTCTTTTTCATTCATTATAGGTTACGACAAGATGTTGAATATAGTTCCGTGTGCTATGCAGTAGAAACTTGCTGTTTATCTATTTTTTAAATTCTTTGTTTCTTTGTTTTGGGGGAAAGGTAATTAGGTTTATTGATTGGAGGTACGGGGGATTGAACCCGGGACCTCGTGCGTTCTAAGCACTCACTCTACCACTGAGCTACATACACCCTCCTCATATTTTATATATAATAGTGTGTATCTGCAAATCTCGAACTTTTTTTTTTTTAACTTATTGGCTGTTTGGAAAAATCAGTCACTAGCTGCAATGTGGGCAGTAGAGGGAGTAGGAGACTCGAGGTAAACAACTCTTGGTGTAAGAGTTTTGAAAATTTTAACAACTAAATTAAAACTAGCTATTAAAAGTTCTACGTTTTCATCTTTAACACCATTAAGAAGCATGAAGTTTTCAGAGTGTTAATATAACTCACCTTAGCAAAATCTTCAGCAAGTTTATTACTAAATAGTTTACATCAAGTGAGATCATTTTAAAGCATCACTAATTTTCATATTGACTAGTGTTTTATAATTCGTGATTTCTCTGGAAGTACTGCAGGGCTTTGGAAGCTGTTACAGAAAAGTCAAATACTGAATCCACTAGCCGCAGGACAATTGTGTCTGCTTCAGACATTGTTTTGTACCCAGTGAAGTAAACAATGTTCTATCCTGAAGTGATGAAAACAAAGTCTCTCTGAATTTGTTTTTTTCTTTTTTTTCCCTTAAACTTTCCATCTTACTGACAAGCCCTAAACTGCTTATGAACTGCTGCCCATTCATCAAGGACAATTTGGGTTTTTGCTTGTTTTCCCCCACCAAGCTGGGAGAGACTTGCGCAGGCTTAGAAGCAGAGAGATCAGTTAGCAGGAAAGACGTGATGCCGATCGCCTCCCCTCTCGGGGTTGGCGCTTTCCTCCCAGACACAGGGTCAGGAGGGGGAGGCCATGAAGATATTTCCAGGGTGTGGGGAACCCTACTGCCACAGTGCACGTACTCACACAGTAGACACTCTTCTCCAGACTAATTAGTATTGAAAATAGAAGGAATTCTATGACTCTGCTGTCCAGCTGAGAAAAGCAGAATACTGACAGTAATCTACATCCACCTGTGTTCTTCCCATCCCGACCCCGTGGTTTCTTCCTCCCAAAGCCCAGTACCGTGTTTTGCATCTGTCATTCCCTTGCCTGTTTCTAGGGGGAGGGGAGCGTCGGTGACCACATGTCAACACAGCATGGCCTTGTTTAATTTTAGCTGTTGCTGGACTTTATAAAAACAGATATTGTGTTGGATAGTGGTTTTCTAGGACTTGCTTTTCCTCTTCACATGAGGCTAAGATTTATCTGTCTGTTGTGTGTAACCACTGAGCCTTGGCATTGCTGGTGGTGAATAGTCCCTGTTTCATTTGTCCGTCATGCTGCCAATGGACATTTGGGTTAGTTCTGAACTACCTGTTGCTCAGAACGGTTGTGAGCAGCTCTCCCGGTGCCCAGATGTACACGTTTCTCCACTTTCTTTCCTGAGTGCGATTCCTCGGTGTGGGGATAACTTCTCAAGATTCGTGGCCCTGATTCCTGTTTCTGTTTCCACTGCAGGTTTCAGCCCCCGTGGGGGCGGCTTCGGTGGCAGAGGTGGCTTTGGTGACCGTGGCGGTCGTGGTGGAGGCCGTGGAGGCTTTGGCGGAGGCCGAGGAGGCTTTGGCGGGGGCCGAGGTCGAGGCGGAGGCTTCAGGGGCCGTGGACGAGGAGGAGGAGGAGGAAGAGGTGACAGAGGAGGAAGCTTTTCCTGGGCTTGCCAGGCGGGGAGGGAGGAGCTGTGGGGTCGCCGTCTCTATTGCATCTCTGCCTTGCAGGCGGCGGGTTCCAGTCTGGTGGCAACCGAGGTCGTGGTCGGGGAGGAAAAAAGGGAAACCAGTCCGGGAAGAATGTGATGGTGGAGCCTCATCGCCACGAGGGTGAGTGAGGGAGGTGGGCACCTGCTGAGGTTGGGGTGGGTGGTGGCCTGGAGTCTTCACCCTTTCCCTGATCCCCTCACCCAGGTGTCTTCATTTGTCGAGGAAAGGAAGATGCACTGGTTACCAAGAATCTGGTCCCTGGAGAATCAGTTTATGGAGAGAAGAGAGTCTCGATTTCGGTGAGGCCCAGGCCCCTGGCCTAGCCACCAGGGCCCCAGCTGATGGTATAACCGGCTGTCTGGTCTTCTCCCAGCATGCATCCTGCATGTGACAGCCAGGGCTCATCTTAATCCATAGGTCAGATTGTGTGCTCCCCTCCTCAGACACCTTCCGTGATGTCCCACGGGCTTCAGGTTGAAGTCCCAAGTCCTCAGGGTGGCCTGGAAGGCCCTACACATTCTTGCCCTCCCTCCCCACTGTCTCCTCCCACTGCCCCCTAACCAGCTGTCTTCCAGACACACCGACAGCCTTGCTGTTCCCTCCGCCTGGAACGCACTCCTCCCAGCTCTGGGTGTGGCTGGTTCCTTGTCATCATTAGCATCTCTGGTCAAGTGTCACCTTGTCTTGTTACAAGGCCACCCTGCACCACCCTGTCTATCCCCTGCCCTCTTATGCCATGACATTTTCTGTGTGGCCAGGCACACTCCTGCCTCAGGGCCTTGCTGGCTTTCCTGTGCCTGGAACGCTAACTTGAATGGCCCTCACTGTCAGGTCTGCTTCAGAGGTCTCCTTGGTGCTCCCCTGGCCACCCCTTCTCGTTTTCACCTGCCCTGGACCTGCTTCTGCTCCCCATACTTCAGGTCTTCCTCCTTAGCACCTGTTCCTGGACACTGCCATATGTGTTCGACGGTCAATTCAGCTTAGCCTCCTTGAGGGCATGAGTCTTACTTGCTGGTTTCCGTGGTGCCTATGCCTGGGGACTGGTGCACAGTATTTGCTGGCACAGTCAGTGTTTGTTAAATGAATGCGTAAGTCTTGCCATTACCTGGGGCATCGGTGTCTCTGTTTATTGTCTGTCGCTGCCCCTTCTCCCTGAATTAGGAACCTCCATGAGTGGACAGGCCCTGCGCCTGCCGTGGTCACTCATATGCACCCGTGTTCATTTCTTGCACGATGCTCAGGCGCCCAATCCCTTGTAAAGGGCCCTAGAGTTCAGAGCAGCAGGGTCTTGCAGAGAAGCCTTGCATTGACTTCCATCCCCATCTCTCCCGGCCCAGGAGGGAGATGACAAAATTGAGTACCGCGCCTGGAACCCCTTCCGTTCCAAGCTGGCGGCAGCAATCCTGGGCGGCGTGGACCAGATCCACATCAAGCCTGGGGCCAAGGTGCTCTACCTAGGCGCTGCCTCGGGCACCACCGTCTCCCACGTCTCTGACATCGTAGGCCCGGTGAGTGAACAGAGATGGGGAAGAGGCGGGAGGGAGGGAAAGGCTACCTCCTCTGCCAGCCTGGAGCCAGGCCCTTCCTGGTCAGAGTGCCTGTGCATGTACTACATGGTCTCCAAAGCTTCATTCAGCCTCACTCCTGAGTTCTCGGCCTGGAAGGAAGGAGCTTGGGCATCAGGACGACCAACCAGTGTTAGAGGGGCCCAGAGCTGAGAGTGTAGATACCCAGACTATTTGATTTGGTTGCCCTCTTTAAATATTGATACCCCTCAAATCTGGTCTTTGATGTCCAAGTCAGTTTCTGGGCCTGCGTTTCTGTCTGGCTGGACAGGCTCCCTGTTGAGAGGGCGCCTGTGCGTCCCACTTCACGACTCACTCAGCATGCAACTACAGGCTGTGTAATTCAGTGGTTAAAAACTGTGGGCTGTGGTGCAGGCTTGTAACAGTGAAGTTGGCTTTCAGCAAGTTACTTTTTTTTAATTGGGGGGAGGTTATCGGGTTTATTTATTTATTTGTGTTAAGAGGGCATACTGGGGGTTGAATCCAGGACCTTGTGCATGCTAAGCATGTGTTCTACCATGAGCTGTATCCTCTCCCCTTTCAGCAAGTAACTTAACCTCTCAGTCTCAGTTTACCCTTGTGTAAAATAGGGTCATTGTGAAGATAAATGAGTTGCATCCTTTAAAGTGCCTAGAGCAGTTCCTGGCCCACTGCAAATATTCTTAACTGTTACAACATCATCTCTGTGCCCTAGCTTCCTGGTTTTAATTAGGGGCTTGGGCTCTCAGATCAGACAAAGCAGGATTGAATAACCCTTGGCCAGTGATTTCACATCTCTCGACCTCAGTTTTTTCATCTGTGAAATAATGGTAGGGTTTGGATTTGGGGATTAAATGGTAGGGTTTGGATTTGGGGATTTGAAGAGATTCTTGCAACATATAGGCCCAAAGTAGGCACTCCATACATGAGAACTAGTATCACTGTTATTACTTGATTTATTCTAGGATGGTCTGGTCTATGCAGTTGAGTTCTCCCACCGTTCTGGCCGTGACCTCATTAACTTGGCCAAGAAGAGGACCAACATTATTCCTGTCATTGAAGATGCCCGGCACCCACACAAATACCGCATGCTCATCGGTGAGGGGTCTAGGGGTTGGCCCAGGTGAGGTAGGACAGGCCACTCCAGGTTTCCTGGAAGAGGCCTCCAGAGCCCTGATACGGATGGAACTGGAGTGGATGAACAGGCCTCTTGAGTCTGTCCGAATGAAAAGGGTGGGGGGATCCAGGTGAGATCGTGGAGGTAGCGGTCCCGCTTTAGTTTAGGGTCTTGGGTATCTGGCACCCTTGGAGGGCCGGCCTTCTTTCCTCCGATCTCCTGTCCCTCCCATTCGGCACCCCTGTACTTCCTGCCCCTGTCTACAACATGGTACCTTTTACACTGCCCCTGGCTTATGTATAAAAGCCTCCTTCAGAGGTCATCATCATTGTCTGGTGAGAGCAGAACCCAGAGAGTGCCAGCTGAGTTTGGCCTGGCCCAGAGGGGCCCATTGTGAATATTAATAACATTGTATTTTTTTTTAATTCAGAAGCATAATGTAAAAAGTGGAGCACCTTATAAACCACCCCT